TAATTTCTAAATTAATACAATTATCTAATTGTATGTGAAAATACATGCAAAGGAGTATGTGAAAATTCTGTTTTTATATCTTGAATAACACTTGATGTTACCAGACCTTTTCCTTTTTGCCCTGTTGATGGATAAATGTATGTCATTTAATTCTCATTGCCCTGATTAATAATGAGATTGAGCATTATATGTTTATTAACCCTACGGTTTATTGTCTTCTCAAATTGTTTATTCATGTTCTTTGACCATTTTTCCTGTTGAGCTGGTCTTTTTCTTACTGATTCATAAGTTTCTTTTTTACATGTCCTTTGTCTTTTATGTGTGCTATGTCTTTTCACTTTGATTACAATGTCTTTTGTTACATAGGTTTTTAAATTTTTGTTTTGTGCTGTCTTGTGTTTTATTCAACTTAACAATTATTTGTTAAACACCTATATGCACCTTCCTAGCTGGCAGGTACAGAGCATTGAGCAAAAGAAACAAAAATCCCTCCTTTCACAGAGCTTACCATTCCAGTTGGTGAGAGAGAAAAATAAATATATGAGTAAAATACAAAGTAGGTGAGAGGTGATGGTTACAGTGAAAAATAAAATAAGGCAGGGAAGGAATGAATAGGCCACGTTGAGATAGGGAGGATTGTTATTCTCGTGGGGTAGTCCAGGAAAGCCTACCCCATACTTACTGAATTATGAATGTGAGTTAATGAATATGAATATGAGGAGGTGACAGTTGAGCAATAGCTTCAGGTACATCAAAGAGGCCATTGTGGCTCAGAGTAATTGGCCTGGGAAGAGAGTGGTAGTAAGTGAGGTCAGCACAGGAAGGAGACAAGGACCCTGTAGTTCATTATGAGGAGTTTTGCTTTTCCTCTTGAGCACGATGAGAAAACCATTGGAGGGATTTTGCATGGAGTGATATGACCTGACGTTGGGCTCTGTTTATTGAAAACAGACTGTGGGAGGCCAGGACAGAAGCAGAGAGAACATGTGCCTCCCCCAGTAATCCAAGGGGGAAATTATACTGGTACCACCAGAGTCGCACCAGTGCAAGTAGTCAGTAGAAAGAAGAAGTCAAAATCTAGATATACCTGGAATTTAGAATTGACAGGATTTGCAGATCACATGGTTGTGACGAGAAATACAAAGAAGACTTTAAGCCTTTTAAGCCCAAAAAGCTGGAAGGACAGTTACCATTTATGAGGACAGGAGCAATTGCCTGAAGAACAGATTTTTGTGGGGAGAAGGATACATGGGGAGATTGGAAGTTCAGTTTTAGACATTTTTTGACATACCTATTAGACATCAAGGTAGAGATATTGAGTAATCAGTGGGTATACAAGTTCAGCCCATTCAGGGGAAAGATTTGGGCTAGAGATAAAAATTTGGAAGCCTTCAGCATATAAATAGCATTTCAGGTCATGAGGCTAGATGAGATCACCAAGGGAATTAGTGCAGACTGTAGGGTGGTTCTTTTTTTCATGGCCCAGGGCATGCCAGTGTTAAGCCAAAGAGTTTAGTGGGAACCAGATGCAGAGACTGAGAAAGGCCAGTGAAATAGGAGGAAAACGGTGAGAAGGAGGTGTCCTGGCAGCCAAGTGAAGAAGAGCATCAAGAGAAGGAAGCGATCAGCTGTGCCTTGATGCCAGTAGCTCAAGCAGTATAAATATCTAGAATTAACGTTTGCTCTTTGCATTGCAGTGGCCATCAGTAACTTTGACAAGAGCGAGCAGTAGAGTGAGAAGAGGGCAGAAATCATACTGGACTGCAGAGAAGGGGGGAGGAAAGGAATTGGAGGCATGGAGCAAAGGAAACCATTACATTCATTTAACAATTTAACTTTTGAATAACAAAATAAACAGCAACTATAACTAGGTATTTTGAATGAATATAATGATTCTTGAGAAGTGTTTCACAGATGCTAGTAAGGTGTGTACTAATATGAACACACTTTGGGTGTGTTATTTACAGGTTTACTATGGTCCTGTGTGTCAATACGGAGACCGTTTCTCAACTCACGGACGTTCTCACTATTCCTAATTTAAGCTTTTATTATTTTTTTTAAGTGTGGTGTTTTCTTTTTTTTCCCCCCTGCATTAATTGAAATGACCCCAAGATTTATCTCCTTAATTTGTGTTAGATTACATTGATACATTTTTCTAATGATGAACGATCTTTGAGTCTGAAGATAAATCCTTCTTGGTTACATAGAGTTTTATTATTATAATTGTTTTATGCTTTTAAAAAATACATTGATTTATTGTTTTATTTTAGGTTTTTTTAATCTATACAATAAGATTGATTTTTAATTGTCATATGTTGAATGGTTTTGGTACCAGTTTTGGTACCAGGTTATATTTTCCTGATAAAATTGAGTTGAGTAGTTTTAAGTAGTAAGCATTTTTTCTTTAATAGCTGACATGTGAAAAGATTACCTGTTACCTTGGAAAGTGTCTGGGTTTGCTGTCTCTTAAGGGAACATTTAATTATCAATATAATTTATTTGATATTTATTGGTTTATACAGCATTTTGGTTTCTTGAGTCAGCCTTGGTAACTCGTTTATTTTCTGAAAACTTACCCATTTTATCTGTTAACAAATGTATTGGCATAAAGAACTTTGTGATTTTTTTTTTTAAATCTCTAGTTTATGTCTAATTATGCCATCTTTTTCATTCCTGATATTCTTTATATCTTTTTTAAATCAGCTTTGCTATACACATCTTTTTTTAGAACATTTTTCAAAGAACCAACTTTGTATTCTATTGATCCCCTCTTTCATCAATTTCACTGAAACAAATTAATTTTTTTAATCTTTCCTTTCTCCTACTCCCCTTAGGTTTACCCTCCTCTTTTTCTGTCTTCTTAAATTGAAATGCTGACATAATGTCTGATTGTCTCACTATTTATCATGCTCACTATTTGGATAGGGAGATAACTACTGCTTCTCTCCATCGTTAAAGGGGCATGATTACCTTTGCAAATGCTAAGTAAGCAGTAGGGTAATACTTTGGTATTGTGCAAATATTGTATTACCCAACATAATTTCACCTAATGAGTTTAACAGCCACTAATGATCTTTAACCTAATCAGTTCTTTCACTGGGGCTTGCTAATGATTTTTCTAATTCTATTATTCTTTCTGTGTTTATTAGCTGGAATTAATCCACAAATAAGAGTTTCCATTTTTGTTGTACCCTCTTTTTATTTTTTTATTTTAGTTTAGTGGGGTGGTTTATACTTGTTTTCAAGTTTTTGTGAATTTTTTTTTCAGTGTATTATAATCAATTATAGTCGCTATTCCTTTTGATGCTCAAATTGTCCTAAATGTGGCTAGTAGGAACCCCTTCAAACTGGCCCTTGTGTCATTTTGACAAGTCTCCATTAATCTTGGAGCATTTTTGCTTTCTGGCAGAAAAATGTCCTAAGCCCACTTTTTACTCTCCATACCTGAGGCTTGGAATTAACCATTTGCTCATGGCACCATCTTGACTAACAGCAGTCTAGTATCTCTCTACAGTGCCATTTTTCTGTCTTTAGAGTTAAACATTTCTACCATAATGAATTTATAAATGTCATTCTCCTGTGTAAGTTTTCACTCCTAAAGTGGTTTTGCAGTGGGAAGGAGCACTTCTTTCCCCCCCGTGGAGTGGTACTGTACATGCTGCTGTCTTAAAATTGAAAGTTAAACTATCTTCGCCTCAGCTCCATTAGGTAGCACATTAATTTTATGATTGACATAGAGACAGTGATTTAGACTCTACCGTAACAGCCATTGTTGCTAATTTGAATCTAATCCAAATCATAAAGCATCTCAGAAATTCTAGAGGAAAAACTCTGAAAGTGATTGTTTTTCCATTTAATTTGTTTTGATGATTTTTCTCTCTTAGTTGTGTGTTTAATTTTAGATTTGTGATGTAAGCTGTATTTATAGCCTGCATTCTCTACAGTGTTGGTAAAGTACCATGGACTCACTCGCACAGTAACAATTTGCCAGCTGTTGGAGGTCCTTACGAAGGCTTAGCGCCCCTCTGGTCCAAATCACTGTACGGTTGTCATCTTTGGCAGAAAGTTGATGTTGAAAGTCTTGGCCAGAATTCTTTTGCTTAAACAAGGCAAACCTGTAGAATGCTGAATTATTGAACTTTTTTTTTATCTCTCAACTGAGGTTTTACCTTATATAAATTGTAATAACATATAGTATTTATGGAGGCCAACCAAAGTTCTTAGCTTATTAGATACTCCCAATGAGACAGAGTGCTTCTTTAGCATTTATCTGTATCTCTATTCATATTCATTAATTTTCCACTATTTTTTCTTGTTCCGTCTTTTATAAGGTGAATATATTATTTTTTTCCTTAAACTCAAAGTGGAGCTCTATTTTATAAAGCATTAATTCACCTTTTGATCCGATAAACAGTTCTATTTGGGGGGGGGGTTCCTTAGCCCCATGAGAGAAGAAAATCATGACTAATGAAGATATAAAGGAGGATCAATTTCTTATCATAACTCTTGCTGTGAATAGTGAACATTTATTAATAAAAATACTGTTTTCCTCTCCCCTCAACATTTCCCTCCGCTTAAGAAGTATTTTAGTACTTTATAAAACTCAGTAGATTTTTTTTTTTACCTCTCGCTTCTGATAATTAAATATGTAAACATTGATAGTATTTCCTTTTCAGCTTAATTTTCTATAAACCTTTCCCATAGTATTTCCCATAGTGCTTTTTGATAATTCCACATCTTTAGGATTTTTTCATTTAAATTACTAGTATAGCTCTCAAGGATCCACCTCATTTTTTTGTTGACATTTTTAAGTGGGAAAGATCACTTAGTGGACTTGAAAAACAGTATTTAAGATCTGTAAAACGCATACTATATCATAGCTATAAACCTAACATTGTAGTACTTGCATGAAAAGTAAATAAGAATTATCTTTTAAAAGCAACGGGTTTTTTCCCCTCAAGTTTGAAATATTATGATCATACCAATAAAACTTTTTCCAGGATTTTCCACCAATTAAACAAGAAAACGAACCATCCCTTTTAGAAAACATGGATGCATTTGAAAAAGTGAGAACAAAATTAGAAACACAGCCACAAGAAGAATATGAAATCATCAATGCAGAGGTAGGCTATTTATGACATTTTTTAAAAATCTGGTATTACCAGGTCAGGATGTAAATGATATACCTTGTGATTTATAGACGTAATCCAACATCAAAATTAGACTGCATTTCACCTTTAAAATATGCTTAAAAACTTAAAGAACAAAGAATAAGCATAGCAGGATCCTTAAAATAAATTATAAAGATCAAAACCAAGATGAATTTCCAATTGTATTTTGTTAATTCTAGTTTTGTGAAAAAAACAATTCTGTTTTAGATTTTTAAAAATAATTCCAAGAATAAGTTCAAATGAAACTAAGTCATATTTCTGTATTTTTTAAAAAGTATTTGATTGCTCTATCTGCACTATACTTTAAATAGTGTAATATAAAAAGCCAAATATTTGACAATTTTATGGTTAACACAATCATAAATATTTAATTGAAACAGATTAAAAATGCATGTTGAAAATTTTTCAGTAAGACTGGAAAACAGAACCACAACTTATAAATGAAAATTGCATACATAGTAGAATGGAAATAGCAATATATTAAGAATCACAGATTCCAAATTATTCCATTACTGTGCAGGTAATAAATGTGTCTAAAGCGACCCGAAATCATATCATCAATCTGTTGCATTTAGTATGTAGGTATTCATTCTCTCAGTTTCAAATTGTACATATCTGTCACCCCACAGAAGGTGAGATGCTTTGTGTAGAATTAAATCAGACCATGAGCAGGTGGTGGTGACAGCATATGTTAGAGGAAAGAATCTCAGTCTGAGCCACGGTTTCCTCATCTGCATCATTTTGGATTATCTTAAAGATGCCACTTTATCTCTGTTAATCGAATCCCACTATAGAGATACCAGAAATTCCTAAAATATAGCTAAAATGCTTTGCACAGTCTTATAACCAAAACAGATTTCATTGTGTCTTCTCTTTGTTGCCTCTTATGTTTATATATAAGAAACTTGTTCAGTGATTGCGAACATATGAAAACCATTTCTTAACCACTATGTTCTAAAATGTGATCCATGTTATATATTTTTTGTGTGCTCATTCATAAATTTCAACAGGTCTGCTTTTATGAGAGATCTTATTTCTTCATCTTGACTAGTCAGACCATTAAAAAGTTAGTTAAATCATGTTTAAATCATTAAATTTCTTTTTATTATTAAAAAAATTTGTTCTTTTCATTGTCAGGTTAAACATGGTGGTTTTGTTTACTATCAAGAGGGTTGCTGCTTGGTTCGTTCAAAAGATGAAGAAGGTATACCACAGGTTTTCCTTTTAACATACTCTGATTTTTCAGATTTCACATTTTTCATAGGAAATTTGACATTAAATTCTCAAATATTTTTTCTAAAAATAGAAAATATTTTTTAGATTATTTCTGAATTTTTTTAAAAGGGCTAATTTTTAATATCTGGGTTTGTTTAAGATACAGTTAACTACTACACTCAAAAACTTTGACAGGAAGAATAGAGGTACAAACCAGCCTTTTTTATTTTTTAATCCTTACCCGAGAACATTTTTCCATTGCTTTTTAGAGAGTTTTTCCATTGCTTTTTAGAAAAAGAGTGAGAGAAACATCAATTGGTTGCCTCCTGCATGTACCTTGACCAGGGATCAAACACTTAACCTAGATAAGTGCACTGACCAGGGTTCAAACCTGCAACCTTTCAGTTCATAAGACAGTGCTCCAACGAACCGAGCCACACCGGCCAGGGCACCAGCATGTTTTTGAGTGTCTGCTCTATCCCAGGTACTGTGCTAGGTACTGTTTTATTATTCAATGTCATTTACATCATCTTTCTAGTTTCCATATGGTCTATAAATACTAGACTATAATAGTACCAAATTATATCACAAGTTGATGCATAGTATAGTATTAAATAGCATTAAATAACTAATGCCAGTTTCTATGCAAATCAAGACACCATCAGTGCTGAAGGAAGCCAGAATGTAGCATCTTATAGAATAGCAATGCTAATTTAAAACTTGGAAGTGCACTTTAAAATATTTTGAAATACATATTGTGATGTTACCTCTTTCATCCTTTTCCTTATGCAGCAGACAATGATAATTATGAAGTTTTGTTCAATTTGGAGGACCTTAAATTAGACCAGCCCTTCATCGATTGTATCAGAGTTGCTCCTGATGAAAAATATGTAGCTGCCAAGATAAGAACTGAAGATTCTGAAGCATCTACCTGTATAGTAGTGAAGCTCAGTGATCAGCCTGTAATGGAAGCTTCTTTCCCAAATGTGTCCAGTTTTGGTATGTTGACAAAGCGACAGTAAGAAAATTGTTCACACTTTTGAAACAATTTCGTTACTGATGTGAGTGAATGAGAGAGCGAGTGCAGGATCACCGTACGCCCTTGGACGCCACACCTTGCTGTGTGCCTCCTCTTCAGGAGGCCTTCCCTTCTTTAATGATATATCCAATAGCAAATTGGAGGGCAACTTCAGAGCATGTTGAACTTACCAGTTCACCAACAGAAGTTGTGATATTTTCACTAGTAGGGCTAACTTTAAATTCTGACACTGATCCTTGAGTAATACATATGTTCATACTTTATCCTCCCTTGTAATATTCCGACATAACTTTCCCCACTGTTTAAAAACTAAATGCCTTTGCCATGAGTTAAAATTATACCCTATCCAATTGATCCTAAGACATAAATTTTGTACATTTTAACCCCTCAAAGTCAGGATGCATACAATACAGCGATGTCTTACAGTCGCTGTCAGCCAGGTGGCAGTCATGATATGATCGTGTGAGAACTTCCATTGACAGCTCTGGTAAGACCAAGTAAACTCCAGCGGGGAAGTGTATTTGGTAGTTTGAGATAACCTGTAGCTTGAAGGCAGACAGAAAACCTTTAGGCATGAGAGCAAATGTTCTACTATTTCCTCAGACTTAAGGGCAGAGGTTGTAGATTTAAACATTAATTCGTCTTCTGAAAAACAGATACGACTTCACCGAAGTCTTTCCTAAATATTGAACATGCAGCTCATATTTAGAGACCTGAGTACCCTGAGACTGATAACTCCTTGAAAACTTAGAATTGATGTAGTTAGTATTTTACTCCCTGAAAAGCTTTCATGCTTATATGGAGCACAGGTTATATATAGTCAAAACCATGTTAGATTTAGATTTCCAGGGCTAACCTTAAAACATCTCTTCTTTGACACTCAAAGTTAGAATGCACAGTGCCTTTTTTTTTAACTGTTAGTAGGTGGCTATGCATAATTCTTTCATTCTTTTCCCCCCAGAATGGGTAAAGGATGAGGAGGAGGAGGATGTTCTATTCTATACTTTCCAGAGGAACCTCCGCTGTCATGATGTGTATCGAGCCACTTTTGGTGATAACAAACGTAATGAACGTTTTTACACAGAAAAAGACCCAAGGTACTAGAGTAATACAATGAAATCTTTTCTCCAAAGTATTTCTCCAATTATCCAAAGTGTTGCTCTTGGCTGACTTAAAATGTTGATGTTAAGTGTTGCTCTTGGTTGACTTAAAATGTTGATTTTGGCCGGACCAGATGTAAGAAGGCAAAGGTGAGCATAAGCTTCAACATTGGAGCCTAATTATATTCAGACTCCATAGTAATACAAGTACATCGTTAGACTGAAAACGAAGAGCTACTAACATTCTCCCTGGACTGTGACGTAGGAGGAGCTGCTAATGAGACATTTAATAGGGTTGTCATACCGCAATTCTAAGTCATAACCAGACACCATGGTGTCGGTGGCACAGATCTCACTACGCATTTCATACAAATGAGCTGAATTTTAAATTGCTTTGCTTTGAGCCATGATAGCCATTGGTCTTTAAATTTTACTTTCCGCAGTACTTTGTTAATTCTTCCTCAAAGCTGATTCTCTTTATTTCCTAGTCATCTCCAGGACACATGCCTTATGTGCCCTGATGGTAAACATATCTGGCAAAATCCCTTGACTCTTATCCAGATATATGTTTCCAAATGCTTTATGAGAAACATTCTTTCTTAACACAGGGGTCCTGTCACCTGATACATCATTCACCTATATAGTTTGGACAACATCTGAACAGATTTTGCAAGAAAAAAAAAAAAGATGGGATTTAACACTAAGCAAACCTATGGCAGTGAAGTCAATACCCATACCAAGAAAATTAACCCTTCATTTCATAAAATTTCAGAGCTGGCAATGACCTTAAAATCTTGTACACCCCCCAGTTTATATTAACAATTTGAGGTCTTGAGAAATTACATTATTCCAGCCCACAGAACTAACATTCTTGGCCCAGAGCTGCAGTTGTTGCTTTTTTTCTGATGATGATTGGTTCAATGAAAAATTACCGAAACTATTTTTTCTTAATTTCTGTTCATCTGTTTTTAGAGGGAGAGGAAGAGGGATGGACAGAGGAAGGGGGGACTGGGAGAGAGAGGAGACATCGATTTGTTGTTCTGCATACTTATGTGTTCATTGGTTGCTTCCTGTGTGTGCCCTGACCAGGGATCTAACCTGCAACCATGATGTATCAAGACAACACTCTAACCAAGTGAGCTACCTTCACTGGACCCAAAACTATTTATTCATATGATTTGTTGTTTTATGTGTCACTGGTCAAGGATCTCTTCTGGAGATGATAGTTTAAGCTAGTAATTTATTTTTTATATCAATGACTTATGATTATGAGTCATTTTCCACCTTGTGAATAAAGCTTGAAATCAAAAAAACAAAACAAAAAACTTCAAAACTGGCCCGGTGAGCTATCCCTTGAATAGGGTACTTGCTTGCTATATGTTGTTACTGTTTAAGTTCTAAGATTAAGCAAGTTATGTATATATTGAAGATTCTTGGAAAGTATTTGGCTTCTAGCATGCTGCTTCTTCCCCGTAGGGAATGAAGCATAATTAAATATGTTTAAGCCTAGTTTGGCATGCAGAACCCTGATCTACATAGCACAGTACTTTCCAAGAACCTTAAATGTATGCCTGATAACTCACAGCTTTATATTTTTCAGTATTTTTAGTATGAATTAACTTTTATAATAAGGAAACATGTAAATGACATTTAGAGCCATCCTTTGTGTCAGTATGTATTACTATAAGGCTCTGAAGATACTATTTGATTATAATCATTAAGAATCATAAAAGTACTCTTAATCATTAAATTAGTATTTCCATTCCTAAGTTTATCCTCAGTAAATAATTGTAAAGGTCAGGGAGAGGGAAACTATCTTCACGAATATGTTGCCTTTTATATCCTTTATTACATTAAAAGCTAAAATTTTAACAATTATGATACTTGACAGAATATTAGGTAGTCATTAAAAATAATGATCAGCAAGACTATACAACTAAAGTGGGGGAGATGCTGATACTATGTGACGTCAAAAAATGCAGAATCCAAAATTGCATCTATTTAAAGACATGCATAAAATACAAATACTAGAAGGAAAAATACTAGAAGGGAAAAAAACAGAAAAATAATTATGCCAATTTTTTTTTTTTAATTAATTTTTTCCCCACCTCCCCCCCCCCCCCCCCCCCCCCCCCCCCCCCCCCCCCCCCCCCCCCCCCCCCCTCTCCCCCCCCCCCCCCCCCCCCCCCCCCTCCCCCCCCTGGGCCGTTTTCCCTTTTTCTTCTTTTTTTCTTTTTTTTTTTTTTTTTTTTTTTTTTTTAAAATCAACCATAAATTTTATTATATTTTTAAAAAAAAAAAAAAAAAAAAAAAAAAAAAAAAATTTTTATTATTAAAAAAAAAAAAAAAAAAAAAAAAAAAAAAACCACAAACCCCCCCCCCCCCCTTTTTTTTTTTTTTTTTTTATGCCAATTTTCCCTTTTTTTTTTTTTTTAAAATTTTTTTCCTTAATTTTTTTTTTTTTTTTTTTTTTTTTTTTTTTTTTTTTTTTTTTTAACCTTTATTTTTTTTATCATCTACTAATATATTGTTTTTTTTTTTTTCCCCCAAAAATAAATTTTAAAAATAAAAAAACGTTTCCCTTCCTCCTTTTTTTTTTTTAAATGTGTTAGGTTAGTGAGATTGTGAGGATTTGTTTCCTGACTACTGTTCCTTTTTGTTTTAAATACTAGGAGAAAAGCAAAAAAGGAAATCCATCATGAATACAGAGGAAAAACAAAGTAAACTGTGTCCCTTTTCTAACCTACAATTACATGTGTCCTCTAGGAAGTTTATGTCCTCTTCTTAGCAAAAAGCCCTATAATCTATCAATATTAATGTGATGTCTGTACTTCACCTTGAAATGAATTTTTTAAAAAAGGTGCATAGATACATGATAAAAATACATACAGTAAAATGTTAATAGCGATTGAATCTCAGTGGTAGGTATATGGGTATATTTACCTTACATTTCTTTCAACTTTTCTGCGTCTTTGAAAAATGTTAGAGAAAACATTTCTAACAAAATGTTAGAGAAAAAGTATTTTGAATATTTGGGGGGAGAATTAGAAAAATATTAGTGTTTTAGTTTATAAGCAGAATTCACTAAGGAGTTGTTTTTATTTTCTTTCTGCTTTATAAATTAAACATCTGTGCTGACCACCTGTGAGATGCTGTCATTAACAAGGTAGCATGCATTTGAAATTTATTGGATTTTCACATCCCCTCTTTCTCTTTCTCTTCCCCTCTCTCTCTCTGTAGCTATTTTGTGTTCCTTTATCTTACAAAAGATAGTCGTTTCCTCACCATAAACATCATGAACAAGACCACTTCTGAAGTGTGGTTGATAGATGGCCTAAGTCCTTGGGACCCACCAGTACTTATCCAGAAGCGAATACATGGGGTCCTTTACTACGTTGAACACAGAGATGATGAATTATACATTCTCACTAATGTCGGCGAGCCCACGGAATTCAAGGTGATACAAGAGTTCATTGTTTTATAGACTTTTGGTAACGTGTAGAAATTGATGCTACCTTCCTGTGCATAACCAATCCCATTTCTCTTCCCTTAGAGCTAATTCCTCTACATATTATAAAAAATAAAAACATATAAATATGTTTTTAATTGTACCTGAAAAGACGAGCAAAGCAAACATACTATATCCTAAGTATATAGTTATCAAAGCCAAACTTAGCTTAAAAGAACAACCCTTTATAAATTCGTGACTTTTTTTGAGTTAGCAATTGGAGCCGTGCTCGGCTAGGCAGCCCTTGTGTCCGTCGGCCTTGGCTCTCAGTGCCCACGCTCAGGCGTCCAGCAGACCAGCCTGGGCTCATTCAGTGCTGGCGGCCGGCCTCCGCCCTCAAACAGCTGTTCTCTCAGCTCCCCACAGAACAGCGAAGGCTAGTATGTCTAAGTTTTTGGTGGTTTCCTCTATGAATTCTGGATCTTGGAGTCATCATGTTCTGTTACCTAGATCTCGTCTTACCTTTGTTCCACACAGCTAATGAGAACAGCAGCAGATACACCTGCTATCATGAACTGGGATTTATTTTTCACAATGAAGAGAAATACCAAAGTCGTAGACTTGGACATGTTTAAGGATCACTGTGTTCTCTTCCTGAAGCACAGCAACCTACTTTATGTTAACGTGATTGGTCTGGCGGATGATTCAGTTCGGTCTCTAAAGGTATGTTTAATTATCAAAAGACAATACTGTTAACCAAAACACATGCAGTTTGGCTTAACCAGAACATAAAATTTTGAATAATAGCAATGTACTTTTTCTTAAAAGAATGTAAATGGAATTTAGCATAGTAGGCCTTTATCAGATTTAGCAAGTATGTCTCTCTCTATATATCACATATTTCTACAGCTTCAGATACAGGTGATAACTCAGGCCAGCCTGGAAGCTCATGCCTAACCACTGTCTGCTGCTCCCGCCCCACCCCGAGTAGGGACAGCGGGCATGCCCGCTGTGTTCCGGCCACGGCTCGCATGCCAAAACTGCAGTGTGTCACATCATCTCTTTGCCAGTTTTCTCACCCAGGGCATCAGGAACGGTGAACTTTGGTTTCTGTCAACAAGGGGGTGGCAGTGGTCTCCTATGACACAGCTGTGAGGCCGGCACAGCTGCCCGGCAGGCTGACTCGCTGGTACTGCTTGTGGCTGCCGGAAAAGAGAATCTGCTTCTATAAGAGAACTTACAATGGCACCTTTATTGCCCCGTTTTAAAGCAGCATTAACGTGAGTTACGATACCAGGCTCTGAAGGGAAGAGGAGAGGCCTCCATTTCACTTGATAGGGAAAAAGTTGTGGAGCCCTGGCTGGTGTGGCTCAGTGGATTAAGCATAGGCTTACGAACCGAAAGATCTCTTGTTCGATTCCCAGGCATATGCCTGAGTCACAGCCAGGTCCTCAATTGCGGGCATGTAGGAGGCAACCAGTCAGTGTTTCTTTCACACATCGATGTTTCTCCCTGTCTTTCTCCCTCCCACTATCCCTCTTTAAAAAAAAAAAGAAAAGAAAGAAAGAAAGAGGTGTGGAGCCAATTGACCAGCAAGCAGAAACCACTTACACTTTAACGGCCTTATTTTCACAATTTCTGTTAATACAATTCCAGTAACTTCACTGGGTGTTTATTGAACTTCTGTGTGCAAAGTTCCATACTGGGCACTCTGGAGTGGAAAGACAGCAGGACAAAGTATCTGGTCTAAAGAGGATACAGTTTTTCATGAGATTCGGCTAGTACACAAAGAGTAAGCATGTATACAGGGGATTTAAATAAGTGGCATCAGGAACGAAGGAGATAGAAGAATCACTGTTAGTATACCACAGTAATTGTTATAGGCAGGCTCCACCAACGGAGGCTGAAATCAGTGGCCCTAAGTTTAAGGATAAATAGATTATTTTTCTAGTCTTCCTAAGAAGACTAGTATCACCCACAAAATATTTATGAATTACAAAAGGGAAAACAGCACTTTATAGTGAAAAACCTGGCAAGAGAGCGAGGTTGACATCACAGGTGGTAAAATCTGTTGACATGTACTCCTCTCTGGTATGCTTGCTAAAAATATATAACCTCAATTTGTTCATGAAGAAACATCAGACAAATCCAAATAGAAAGACATTCTACCAAATAATTGCTCCGTACTTGTCAAAATTACCTCAAGGTCCGGAAAGTCGAGGAAAGACTGAGGAACTTTCACAGAGGATGCTGAGGAGACAGGACAGCTGAATGCAATGGGGAATCCTGAATTCCTCAGACAGGACAAGGACATTAGTGGAAACATATATAGGTAAAATGCGAATAATGTGTATAGTTAGTAGAAAATGTAATAAAGTAAACAAATAAGTGGTATTGAAAACACAAAATGTGCTGTGGGCCCCAAAGGAGAAGGAGAAGGCCCAGGAAAGCTGTTGATAGAGGAAGTAGCATTCGAGAAAGGCCAAAGAGGAGGAAGAGGATTTTGAAGGGGAGGGAGGGGAATGGTATTCCAGGAGAAGTCTACCAAATGAAGGCTGGGGAAGTTCAGAAATGTTCAAGAAACTGCTAGTAATTCAATTTTATTGAAGCAGAGTAAATTTTGGGGAGATGAAGCTATGATTTGACAGTTTTTGACTGTCAAAGTGATGAATTTATGCATAAATTATGAAGAGGTGGTAAGTTTGAAATTTAGGGGCAGGGAATAATTTGAGGAGTCAAGTTCTGTGGCAGCCGCGTTGGGGTGCACTGAAGCAACAAGAGATACGGCACAGGGAGATTAGTTTTGAGATTGTTATAGTAGTATAAGAAATTAACAAGGACCTAAAACAACCAAAATTTTCCACTTACCTCATGTAAAGTCTGATGTCTTAGAAGACTCATATAGTTGCCCTAAAACAAAAATGGTGATTTAACTTTAGTGAATTTTTATTGCTTTCATCGACTGGATTCAAAATGTGTTTTTTCACTTACTATTTGATGCCAAATTCAGATATCTTTAGTTGGGAAACTGGCAGAACGTCTTCTCTTACTTCAGTCTGTGTGAATAGAGGTGGGAGAAAATATGTCATTCCTGGCAATACATTTCTTACAACGAAATTCTGTCAAAAAAATTATGAATATCATGAGTTTACTCTGTTATAATAAGATTTGACTTCTAAGTAAATGTGACCTTTTATATTTTTTAAGTATTTCTATTTTTCATGGCTTTAACTTCCATTAGAACAGGCATCATATCTTTAATTTATTCTGTGTCCTCCATTTCATTCCCTGACCCTTTCAACCTGTGGTACCTATTATGCCACGTGTAATGGTCTGAGTTGTCACCACACGGAAGCTAATGCTCTATTCCAGGCGCTACTGACAGAGAGTTTCATGGATCAGAGCCTTTTTGTTAACAGCATAACTCTGCTTACTATGCATCGACAGTGCCTTATACAAAGGACAAAATGTTTAAGTCAAACTATGAGTGGGTTATAAAGTATTTTCTGTTGTAACATCTCTGTCCAGTGGGCACTTGACTAAAATATCTTTTTAAACTCAATCTCAGCAATAGAAATGTAAAATCCTTAATATGCTTGTCTCCTATTGTTGCTGAGCATGTCATCCGTATTTCTTGGTAATATATTTTCTTTATAAAAAGTTAAGATAGTTTAATTGGTTGTGATATTTAATTTAAGCAAATTGGGAATTTTTTTACTTTGTGCTAACATCAATTTATTTGGTGACATAAGCAATCTTCAGCCAACTTGCTTTCAGCATTTACATCTTAATCATTCTTTCAATGCAGTGACTGTGATTTGCTGGTCAGATACTAAAGCTGAAGCTATTCTGTCAAGTATCTAGAAATACCTATCTGCATGTTACCTGGCCGACTTACAGTTATTCTTGGGTGCTGTGTATTAATGTACATGAATGATGCTGCAGGCTTATCCATATGGGAAATCCAGCTTAAGATAGTCTTGAGATCATTAATACCTTATTTCTGCATGAGCTGGACAGATTTTAAAAAGTCTGTAGCCTTGGAACAGTTTTTGTTATGATTAAAACTTTAACCTTGATCCATTAGTTTAAGAAATACACCCAAAGACAGACCTGTTGGTTTCTTGAACCACTTGGTGTAAAGCTGAAACAGCTCACTCCAGGCGTCACACGGAAGCTTGTAGCCTCATAAAGGAAAGAAGACACTGGTGTCTGTGTGGGCTGAGGGCACAAGCCCGCAGCCCGCGGCCCGGAGACAAGGCCAGCAGCAGGGCTGCTTTGCTTCCCGCCAAGGTCTCCGTGTGCTCGCTTCACACACGCCGCCAGGTTCTCCAGCTTTCATGACCACATTTTTCTTTCTGGTTATGGCTTGCATTTAAATACATTGTCTGTGAAAAGAATGCTCAGTCTGAAGAGAGTAAATGGGAACTCCTGTAAAGAAACACAGCCAGTGTTTGTCCTCGTTAGTGTTTGGGGAAAAGAGTTGTTTTTTTTTTAAATTAGTGCCAAGAAGTTTGCTCTGTAAACATAAGCTCTTTGGCTGCAGTCTCTCTAAGGTAAATGGTGCCCTCTTAATGCACACCTCCCCCACCTACCCTTTCTGAACAGCACCCACCAGGGACTTTGCTGTGCCAAGACCTCTGATTTTCGAAGGAATTTGCTCTTTCTACAATTACTCAGGAAAAGAAAGGCAATTTTCTTTCAACGATCTGACTCTCACTCAGTACCATTTCTGCCACACTGTCAGCCTGCTTACCAGAGTTCTTTAAAAGGTGCAAGAAGGATGTTAGTGGAAGGCTTGAACAGGATCCTGCTGCTCTGAGAGAATAAATTTTGATTCCTCTCCTTTTTTTATTTTTTTTTTTTAAGTTAAGGATCTTAATCATAATAGCGCCGCGTCTTTCAGAGTGAATGTACAGGAAGGGTTTTGTTCTGCACAATGGTTGGCCCGGGAGCTGAAGTTAGACACAAATTGTAAATGCCTCAGTGCTGCTGAGCCAGTTTGTAGCCCTGGAATAATGACTGTCATCACGGTGGCTGTCCGGGCCGCGGAGTACGGGCTGGTGGGTAAATTATGAGAAACACATGTCAGCGGTTTCTTGTTCTATGAGAACAGAGGTCTTGGAGGTGTCACTCAGTTCTGGAATTACTATTTGATTTTGCACTTATTAGTCATATTGCTATTCATGGATGGACCTGGAGATTATTATGCTGAGCGAAATGAGCCAGTCAGAGAAAGACAAATACCAGATGATTTCACTGATGTGTAGAGTCTAATGAACAAAATAAACTGACGGACAAAATAGAAACATAAGCACAGATACATGGAACAGACTGGCAGCTGTCAGAGGGAAGGAGGGGTGGGGCACTGTATGGAAGAAGGTGAAGGGATCAGCCAAAAAACATGTATGCATAACACAGAGACACAGACAGCACTGTGGTGACGGCCGAGCGAAAGGGGGTGGGGCGCGGTGGTGGTGGGCAGAGGGGGGGAACAGGGACGGCAGGGGGCCCCGCTCGGCCGGTGGGCGCCCGGGGCCATGTGCCGACGGTGTTCTACGGAGGTGTACGCTTGAAGCCTATATGGTTTTGCAAACCAGTGTCACCCCAGTACACTCAGTTAAAAAATCATTTTGCTGTTATTACCCAAGTTTATACCCCAAAATAAACTTTTATTACAGATTTCATGTAAATCCAGAATCACAAGCATTTTGTCATCATTTTTCCTTATTTTATTGGTCATTAGTGTAGAGTTTTGTTTGTTTTTTACATGAAATGTATTGTGTTGTGCTAAAGTAATCCTAATGAAGCATTATGTGATAATGGAAAGAAGTAAACTTAATGTTCACATTATCTTGTTTGGAGCAGACCCAGGAATTTCATTAATTAATAATACTTAGTGTCTAGATTAATGATACTTAGTGTCTAGATAAGGAGTAAAAATAACTTTTATTTCTTTAGCTCCCTCCTTGGGCCTGTGGATTCATAATGGATACAAATTCAGACCCAAAGAACTGTCCCTTTCAGCTTTGCTCTCCAATACGTCCCCCCAAATATTACACATACAAGTTTGCCGAAGGCAAGCTGTTTGAGGAAACTGGGCATGAAGACCCAATCACAAAGACTAGTCGTGTTTTACGCCTAGAAGCCAAAAGCAAGGTAAGTGTTTATAATCTCCTCTCTCAGCCCCCATTTACTGACGGCCTACTGTTTGTCAAGTACCGTGCAGTTGCTGGTAAATCAATTTTGTAAAGTGGATCCATTCCACAGTAAGACCCAAATGACTTCAGGGGATACATGGATTTTTTTTGTTTTTTTAAAGACTAAAAAATTTATAACCAGCACATCAAGCCCTTCATTTCAACAAATGCAAAATCGGAATATATGACGTTTAAATGACTGCACTCTACCTCTTAGAAAAAAAAATCATTGTCAACCACTTAGTGTATTACCTTCCAGATTTGGGGGGTTTTGTCAACAGAATATGTATGTTTAGGTTTGGTTTTGTTTTACAAACAATGGGATTTATACCGTCAAAGCATTGTAATTATTATGCCCCCAATGGAAGCTGTTTTCGGAGAGCGAAGGGGCCCTTCAGAAGGGCAGCAGCCGCTGAAGGCACAGGCTGCTGTAACTTTGCAGGCGCTTATGCGCAGCCGGCGAACCCGGGGCCCAGCCCAGGCGGGACCGGCTCCCACCCTGACCGCCTCCTTCCTCCCCATACGTTTTCTACCAGCAAGTATCCCTCTGTTTGTTTCATTGAAGTAGGGGAGGCGGCAAAGGTAGGAAAAGACCAAAATTATTTTAAGAAATTAATCTGCATCATTGTATAAGAATGAATTGTATTGAGAAGTTACACTGTTGTAACAAGTTTAGTGTGGTAAAGAATGATAACCAGAAGAGTTCCTCCTAATGAGATGACTCTCTGGTACTCCAAAGTGAAATTTTCAAAATGAGAGTGAAAAAAATAGGAGACACCCTGACTGGTTTGGCACGTTGGTTGGACATCGCACCACAAAGGCGGAGGTCGCAGCTTTGCCTCCCCTGTCAGGGTACTGCCTGAGTTATGGATTCCTCCCGTCCCGTCCCGGTGGGGCCATGTAGGAGAGGCAACCAATGGATCGATGTTTCTCCCTCACACGATGTTTCTCTCCCTCCCTTCTCCTCTCTCTAAAAATAAATTAATAAATTCTTTTTTTAAAAAAATAGGGAGAGCGGCTTGGCTATATTCTTTTCCTTTTGTAAACTAGTACTATTTCATTGGTTTCTGTAAGCAGGGTGAGAACCAACTCTCCTACCCTATTTCAAGGAAAAGAAGATTAGCAATAGTTCAGATTATCTTAATTTTGTGTGCCCAGAGAGTTCCTAGTTTCAGTCAGTTGGTATTGATGAATATGCACTGCACTGGGAAATAGTTACTTGCCCTAAAAGTACCTCAGGTGTTAAAATTTATAAAACTTACTTACAGCTCTTGCTGGGTAGCTGGGTCGGAGCGTTGTCCAGATGTGCTGGGCTTGAGGGTTCGATCCCTGGTCAAGGCACGCGCAGGAATCAACCCATGAATGTGTGGGTGGGTGGAGCAGCATGTCGATACCCATCTCCTTTCCTCTTTCTCTAAAATCAACCAAAAAATTCTTTTAAAAAACATATTTTTAAACATTTTAAAAAATAAAGCTCAGTAGGCCTTTGAAGAGGATGTGGGTGGATATCAGTAAGGTCAGTTCAAGGTTGCAGGTACTAATGTTGAAAATTCTGCCTACAGAGGACAGAAAAGCGAGGTGTTAAAACTTACTTAGTTTGCTTATTTGTAAATACAGGGTCTAGCACAAGTAATGCCCCTTTATAATTACAAAATCTTTTATTACAAGACCATAATCATGTAATTCTGTAACATAACAATATCACACTCAGGCACACCATATGACATTTTAGGTGAAATGTTCAAATTAAAACGATAAATTATTACACCAATATTATTACCCTACCAACCACACTCCAGCAGATGTTTTAAGATGAGAAGTGCTAGCGTGTAGCCCTAGGTACAGGAAGAATGCTAGGCTAGTATGTCTAACCTTAACAGGTATTCGGGCTTGTCGTAAAGGAGAAAGAAATTTTAGCACTGGGTAGTGGAGAACTCTCTAAATCACTTTATTGTCACGAAAAGCTTCATTTAACAAAGTGGATTCAAGTCCTAGTCCTGCTGCTCTTTTCTAGTTAATATCATAGGTCAGCAAAATAGCTGAAAATAAGTATCCGGACAGAATTTAGAGACCATAACTCTTTGTCTTAATTAAAGGATGTTTCTGCTCAAGATCAATAGGCAGGACACAAAATAGGGGATAAAACTGTTTTAAAATACTCTTCTTTATATGCATAGTAAATCTTCATTTCCAGGATGGAAAATTAGTACCGATGACTGTTTTCCACAAAACGGATTCTGAGGACTTGCAGAAAAAACCTCTCCTGGTGCATGTATATGGAGCTTACGGAATGGATTTGAAAATGAATTTCAGGCCTGAAAGGCGGGTGTTGGTGGACGATGGATGGATATTAGCATATTGCCACGTTCGGTGAGTCATCACGTTGACCCTAGTGTATGAGTGCCGGGGCACTGCAGCAGATACCCAAAATAACCGTCAGGAGCAAGAGTTTGTTCTTTCCATCTGTATTGTTGAAATTATGTTTTCCTAAACCTAGGCTGGTGGAACCCGATCCGGTAACATTAGTTGATCCAAAAAAGCAAAAGGGTACTTTTTTTTAGGATTTTGTACCAGATTTTTAGGATTTTTAGAATAATACCAATCTCTTACTTAGTAGCATTATTATTTCCATTTAATTGTCCTGAGTTTAGGTTTTTCTAAAATAGCCTCCTCTTAAGCTGAACTCTTTTCCACTGTAACTTCCATTTTATTTTAGCTGTGTTCAAGACACAAATATTATTTCTTTTCTGCTTAAAATCTTTCACCACCTCCCCATCTCCATAATAAAATCCAAATTTCTCAGCGCAGCATTTAACATCCCAGTGAGCTCGTTTGTCTCTGTAGCGGCATCTAGATCACTCCCCAGCATATCCTGGGCCCCCGCCACATGCATCCTACACACCCAGCCTTGCTACATCCTTTCAGGTGACAAGCTCTTAGCCCTCCGTGCCTTTGCACATGCTGTGTCTTGATGCCTTCAGGGAATTCATATTCTTCCTTCGAGACTCAGGTTAGGTATTATCTCTGTCTTAAGCATTCATGTTCCTGACTCACGAATATGCCCCTAACCTGACAAGTGGATGTTCTTTCCTCTGCTTCGGTGATACTTTAAATACACTTGTGTTACAGCAGCAGCACGTGGCTTGGTAGCTGTTTTCTCCCCCTACAAAATTATGATCTTCTCCAGGGGAGGGGATTTTTGCTTATTTCTATTTTTACGGCCTACATTTAGCACAATGGCTGGTAAATAGTAAGCAGGCCCTCAGGACATATTTGTTGAATCAATTTTTGATTGTCTATATCAGGGGGTAGCAAACTGTTCTCTAAAGTACTAAATAGTCAACATTTTAGGCTTTACAGCCCATATAAGGTCTCTGCTACTTATTCCTCATTGGGTTTTTTCCCCCAGCCTTTAAAAATGTGAAAACCATTCTTAGCTCAAGGGCCATACAAAAACAGGCCCCCAGGCAGATTTGGCCTACAGGCTATAGTTTGCTGGCCCCCGACCTATATTATTCATTTTTTTCCCCCACTAAAACCTCTTTGCCCTTTAATTTCAGGGGTGGTGGTGAGTTAGGCCTCCAGTGGCACGCTGATGGCCGTTTAACTAAAAAACTCAATGGCCTCGCTGACTTAGAAGCTTGCATTAAGACGCTTCATGGCCAAGGCTTTTCTCAGCCAAGCCTAACAACGCTGACCGCTTTCAGTGCTGGAGGGGTGCTTGTGGGAGCGTTGTGCAATTCTAATCCAGAACTCCTGAGAGCTGTGACTTTGGAGGTGAGTACACGCTGTCTCTAGCTATTTACAGAATGGGAGGTACGAAGCCACAGGCGGCCCTAAGGGATAAAAATCATGTTTCACCATAGCGTATGAGCCTAACAAAGCCTTTCAACACAGAATTCTAGCTCTGGGAGAGCGGCTGCAGTTATTTTAATCTAACTATTTACCCTTTACTTGCTCTTCCCTGACAGCGTTCTGGTAACATGGAAAGAACGCAGAGCACACTGTGACTGTAGAATGCCCACAATTTGAGGCTCTGTTGCCCATCAGCATTTCAGTTCTGGATTTGGGGGCTCCCTGTTTTTAGATACTCCATTCTTAAATGGTCCTTAGGGACAGTTTCTCTGCACTTTAATTGAAATATCTTGCTCCGTTCTGAAAATGCTCGATAGTCATTTCCTGATACCCAGAATGACGAAGTCATAGCCGCTCATTCCACCTCAGTCATCCCCCTGCCTCTTGGGTAGATACTGTAGAAAATACAGTGACTGGGAGGGGCATTTTTTAAGAATTTTTAGATTTTTTTTTTTTTTTATTGAGGGTATTGGGTATACACTGTGGGTTTGTATTAAGTAAATGTGTTAAGTAATCCTGAACTTTAAATCTGTTTTTTTAAATAGAAATGCTAATTGTAGAAGCCGAAAGACCTACCCACAAAAGTTATAATAGCAGAACTATTTACAATATAAAGAAAATGCAACTAACCTTTGACTTTTAGAAATTGGGAAGGAAATCAGATATGTATATGTAAGGATATTTATCCCACATTGCTTATAATAGTGAATGACTGGAATCCACCTATGTGCCCAACAACAGAGTATCTGTATATGAGTCAGAGCTCTTAATCAGAAGCAACAGAAACTGGCTCCAGACTAATTTAAGCAGAAAAGGGATTTATTAAAGCGTAATTGGCGAGGGTGGGTATAGAACTAGCCTTAGAGGCTGCACGGTCAGCAACATGTCCAAAATGTACCATGAAGCTCTCACTGCCACCACTGCCAGGCACAAGTCACCTCATACTGCTAGTGTTGCCTCTAGAAACTCAGTAGAGCTGTGGCAGTTTTGCCATAATAAATTCTCCGTGGTCCTGACTTCTTTGAGTCACTAGCTGCCCATTCAGAGTTTGGAGCACGTTATGTCTGACCTGGTAGACCTAAGTCCTGTGGTTACGTCACGCTGCAGGGAAAGCTGGGAAAGGAACCCTCTGGCATTTGGTATCTGCAGTGAAAGACAGACTCCGTCTCACAAGGTTTGGGATGCTCTAAATGCAGAAAAAGAGTTTGGATGCCAGGCAGCCAAAGAGAACTATACACGTCCATTTGCCCACTGTGCACGGTTAATGTTAACCTGAGAGAAAGTTGAAGTGCATGTTAAAAAGACGATAGGCTAAGTGAAAAAAGCAGCTGCCATTTTAGTAAATGTCAAACACTGGTTATAAACCAATGAGTGATTTTTCTCATCTTTCAACCTGGATATTGTCCAGGTTTTCTTCAATTAGCATTTATCTTTTTTTAATGTAAAAATGTCCAGCTGGTGAAGAAGACTTTATTTGTGTGTCGCTGAGTTTTTATTTCTAATTGTGGTAAAATAACAAAATCCAGCTCTTGACCGTTTCTGAGGGGGCAGTCCAGCAGTGTTAAGCACAGCCGCACTGCTACGCGGCCCGCTTGCAGGACGCCCCACTGTGCAAAGCCAAAGTGCTGTGCCCGTTCAGTAGCAGCTCTGTAGCCCCCCTGGAAAGCACCATCGTGCTTTGTGCCTTTATGAATTCGGCCGCCGTAAGGCACTGCCCGTGAGTGAATCACACAGTGCTGTCACTGTTCACAGGGATAGATACAGTGTCCTCAAGGTGCATTCGTGTTGGGGCACGTGTCAGAATTTCCTTCCTTGATAGCTAGCGATCCTAATAGATGTGAGGTGGTAGCATTTATTACTTTGACATAAAAATGTGTGCATGTGAATAAAAAGCACACAAACTGTGAAATTAGAAGATAAGCCCTTTCTTTTTATATAAATGTCATTTAAGGGGTCTGAATACCTTAAAGGCCAGTTATAAATCACAGGCCCTGGGTAAGGACTGAGCAATTGGTCTGGCTCCCGGGAATCTACACGGCTTCTTTTGCTTTGTTCTCTCATGCCAGCATGTATGTTCATAAAGTATATTTTCCTGAAACTCATTTTACCAACTTGTTAGTCAAAGGTTAAGTTTCTTTGGCCTTTTTTTTTTTTTTTTTTTTAGGCCCCTTTCTTGGATGTTCTCAACACCATGATGGATACCACGCTTCCCCTGACGCTAGAAGAATTAGAAGAATGGGGGAATCCTTCAGCTGATGAAAAACACAAGAACTACATAAAGCGTTACTGTCCCTACCAAAATATTAAACCTCAGGTAGTGAAAGATAGTTATGACGTTACTATCCAGAAGTGACAGAGAAGATAATCAGAAGGATACTTACCTGCGCTGGGGCCAGAATTCAGTAGACCTTTAGATTGTTCCTACATACAATACCCGAGCACTTTTGGCATCATGTCTGCTCATATAAGCTCATGGTCTCTCTGGTTAAGAAAAGGCTATTCTGGGTAACAAGTAGACTAGTACTGTAATATTATAGATCTCTCAAGAATATCAAATTAAAATAACATCTAGCACTTAGGGGAAAGAAATTGGAGGTCATTATTTTTCATTATAAGGTAGAAACGGGCCATAAGGAATAATATAAATTCTTTGTACATCGATTTTCTTGCAGCATTATCCTTCGATTCACATCACAGCTTATGAAAATGATGAACGTGTACCTCTGAAAGGAATTGTAAACTATACTGAGAAACTCAAGGAAGCTGTTGCGGAGCACACTAAGGACGCGGGTGAAGGTAGGAGACCACCTAGAAGCAGGGAGCATAGCGAAATGGACTATTACCTTTAGCATACCACTCAGAATACTACATTTTATGTACAGACCAAATCGTTACTCCATGATTTTGGACAAATAATTGTTTTTCTATGTTGACTACCAGTTGAGCCATACATTATAATTAAACCCCCTTCCATCATTTTCAAAGGACAGTATTAAAATAAGGTTGGGTACCAAAAAAAAAGTAAATTTAAATATCAAATATAAATTGGAGATGTACTATCTATCATATAGCCATTCATTTGTTTAATGGTACTACCTGAGCCATTATTCTTGGGAACCTCTAAAAAAACAGGTTCTAAAGTTTTTGCTGTGGAGCTTCAGTGCCCAAACTAGCGGCTTTAATTTTCTCTAGATCTTAGTATTGTATTAGACAAGAACTCTTACCTTTTTCCCTTGCCAAGACATGCCAAGACCTTCAGGACTCAGGGGGGCGTCCCCGGGGCTCCAGGCGCGCAGCTGCGCAGGGCCTCCTTCCCGGTCACAGCCTTGGCCATGTGGCCCTGCGGTCTCTTCCACCGCAGCCACTGGCTCCCCTCTGCCTTCCTGGTTTCTGAAATTTATCTTCTGCTTGCCCTTTCCCGTCTCTTTGTTGGCGGTGATGTTTTATGCCTTCATCCTTTCCTGTTATTTTAATGGATTACTTGGAAAAAGAGGGACGAAATAGGCCTCAGTCAGCCAAAAATGTTTTAATTGCTCCCTATGTTAACTCTTTCAGGCTATCAGGCCCCCAATATTATTTTAGACATTCAGCCTGGAGGCAATCACGTGATTGAGGATTCTCACAAAAAGGTATGTCATCCAGCCCCTTTCAGCTGACAGGTCCCCGGGTAGAGAGTATTGACCCCAGAGTCAGTGGCCGTGGCAGGGTTAGTGACAGCTGCTCTCCGACGGGCAGGTCTGTGGCTGCCACCCCAGAGGGCGAGAGAGGACACCGAGTCAGTTAGGAAAAGAGGCTCTCTAGTAAATGGAATTTAATCTTAACTGTCGGGAGCCATCCAGCTCTGTCCCAGATAAAAGTATCCCAGCCCTAAATCACCTGTTTCAGGGTTAGGTGAGGAAACTAGACAAACAGACTTAATGCTGGAGTTTTACCACAAAGGCCTTCAGTCTAATTTGTTTAATGTGTCTTTTAGATTACAGCCCAAATCAAATTCCTGTATGAGGAACTTGGACTTGACAGCACCAGTGTTTTCGAGAATCTTAAGAAATATCTAAAATTCTAAGATGTTGTATTCAATGGGGATTGGAAACGTGCTGAAATATTTCGTAGTTTTATTTGCTATTGGGTTAGCAAAAGTGAAGTTTTTTTTTTAAGTTAGTGAATAGTTTATAAAAATTTGCCTCTCTCCAAATTCTGTTAATGTACCTCTCACTTACACTGTTCTCCCTTGATGTATATGCCCCGTAACCTGGGAAAGTAGTTTTCTAATCATGCTCCTTAGAAGGACGTGGAGCAGGGGGCGGAGGAAGGATTGGTCACCGCAGAACCCCCAGCCCCCCGACCAGAACAGCTTTGTTTTTGTCTGTTTTACTAAAATTTTCTTCAAACAGTTTACACATCAAGGTCCTGCCTCTTTGCTAGTGAACATTTTTGGTGGTAAGTGGTGAGTCATCCTCTAGTTTCTGTGTCTGCATTTTATGGAATAAGAACACTCTTCACATTAAAATGCATTAGATATTTCTAATAATCTGCAGTCCTAAGGTGTTCTGATTATCTCTTTTGATGCTCTCTCAGTAAAGTTACGAGTTCCTGCAAGCGATAATTTTCTTTAAAACATTTTATTATTCTTTAAAAACATTTTAGAACCTTTCCTAAAGCAGTTACATTCAAGTTTATAAAGTGCACCCAGCAGCATGCTATACATGAATTTAGCGCAAATGCTTAGAACAGAATGCCAGCGTCTTCATCTGTGTCGCAGAGGTGTCTAACACAGGCTGTACAGTATGCCTAGCACACTGGAGTAGCATGCCCGATTGGAGACAAAGCATCTGTCTCTGAAATCTGATTGGTAGTGAAGGAGATTCTTCGTGCTGTATTCAAGGATGAGGCCTTCTCCCTTGTCCACTGTAACACCCTGTGTATCAACTTCATTTCCTTTGTTGGCCAAATTGGTACTTAACCTTATCCTCACTTTTGTGGGAATATTTGAAATAATTTCCTTTAGATTTAACTGTGATGATTCTCCAAAATTCAGAACCATGAGAAAGATTCTGTCTATGCCATCCATTTCTCTTGTGTACACCACGAAGTGGCTGTCAGTCCTCAAATAGCAAAACCATCCCCTGCTGAGGAGCAGCTCACTGTCACGAAGCAAACTTAATTCTTGATATAACGTTAATGCTGATCTGGGCTGAGTCTTTTGGACCTTTAAAAAAAAAAAAGGCATCAAGATAAATGTTTAATTCTAAGAGTTTTAAAAAACTGTTTCTAGTATCAAATAAGAAATTTCCCCAAAAAAACTTGCTTCAGTTTTGCCCCTTATAATAATCACCAAATTGTCAGTATCCATAAGTAGGGAAGAGTAGTCATTCATTTGACTACTGAGGGACATCGCAAGTGCAGGATGTCACCTTGTCATTGCAGTGTGTGCCACATCTTCGCCAGAGGTGATGTAGAGACCAAATTTGACTTCACGTTAGGAATTCCAAAACACAGGTCCATGTCTGAGTTAGTGGATATTTAAGCTGCCTAAATGAAGTCCCTTTCTGATCTGCTATAACTGGCCCCCCCCCAAAAAAGCAGCCATGATGGCCGCGGGCTCTGGGAACTTCTGGGGAACCGGACCCTCCCTGTTCCCTGCTGGAGACAACGTGTAGGTTGCCGTAACTCCAGCTGCCTCAAGTAATTAAGTTAGTGCTTTTTTAAAAACTGTTGAAATAACATATGTCCATGAAAAGAGATTTGGATTTATTTATTATTAACAACATACATAATTTGACGTTATATTTCCCTTGGTGTTTTTTTTTTCCTTTAACATTTCAAGCATCTTCCGTTAATATATAACTTCATAAATGTTACTTTAATGGCATAATAATGTTACATGTCTATACCATACATAACCATTCCTTTTCATTTCAAAATTCAAATTTCTAATATTTTCTTATATTCTTAATGCCCCCAAATTTGGATTATGTGTTTAGGATATAAATATCAGAAAGACAATTACTGTGTCAAAGAGTGTGGACACTTGACACATGATGCCAAATTCTTTTTAAGAGCTGTTGCCAAATCAGTGATAAGGTTCACTTCCTGGTCCTCCTACCAGCCGTGTTCATTGTGGCGGTTTTGGTGGTGGTGGTGGTTTGGGGGCAGGTGCCTGATGTGTAGTCTTTAATGAGTATCTAATGGATGTTTAAAATACGTTTATTCTCTGTTTACCAGGTACAAAAGTATTTATGGTACGTGTGTATGGTGTATGTATATGACTTGTCCAATTACTATTAACATTTTCTATAGCCTTAGATAATGCATGAAAAAGCCTAGTCCAGTGCCACTCACATAAGAAGGGCCCCATAAGTGTTAACTATTATTTTCGTCTACTTGATTTACCGCTTTCTAAAAGTATGTTGAAGTGTCCCTCTGTAACTGTGGATTTGTCAGTTTCTCTTTGCATTTCTGAGTACTTGTTTTATATACTTTGAAGTTCTTGTTAGATGCATAGATCCATGATTTATAGTGGAATGTTCTTTTATCAGTTTTTTAAAATTTGCCTTTGTCTCAATGCTTTTCATATTGAATTCTATTTTGTCTGCTATTAAATATTTCCACACCTGCTTTTTTGTAACTTTGCTTTTTTTAATAAGAAATGCATGTATACAGTATAAAACTCAATTATAAGAAGAGTATATAAATATATAAAATAAAAAGGTTTTCTTAAGTACCGTCCCATAGCTTCCCAGTGCCTCTGTCAGAGATAGACAGTGTTGCTGTTTATAAAGTCTTTCATTTTTATGTATCATGAAATAAGCCATTCTGTGCCTGTGCAAACATATATAGATGTACTTTTTCTGTCTTATACAAACAGTGGCATGTTACCATTCTGTGCTTTTTTTAGTACATGTTAGAGATGGTCTCTCATCAATGCACACAGAACCTCCCTCATTCTTCTTAAAGTTGAGTATTAGTCCATTGTGTAGGTTAACCATAATTGAATCAGCTAGTTGTCTATTGATACATTTAAATCATTTCTAAAGTCTTCTGCTATTAAAAACAATGTTTTAGTAGAGATCCTTGAATACTTGTCATGCACAAATATTCCTAGATACAGATCCTTAGGAATGAAATTACTCAGTGAGAAGATACTATGCGTCTTTTGCTTTGATAGTTAGAGCCGGGGGGCAGGCTTTCTTTCTGTTTGCATTTGTCTTCAATGTCTGTATTTTAATTGTGTCCTTCTGTTTAACTAAGTCATGTCAGATTTTGCCTTATCTACTCTGAGAGTTTTTATCTCTTAATAAGTAAATTTAACCCATTTATATTTATGGTTACCATATGTTTAGACATAATACTGTAGCCTAATTTTCTCTTTAATCTGTAGTTGTACTTTTATTTTCTTCCTTTTTAGCTTTTTATTGGATCAGTTGGTTATCTTAATGTAATTTTTTTCCTTCTAATGTTCTTTGAAAATTAAACAGTCATGTCCGTTCTTCTAATGGTCAATCTTAAAATTGTAATGGCCATTCTGAAATATATTTTAATATTTTATATCTCTTCTCTCTGCTGTCCAATGTGGTAGCCACGAGCTATTGAGCACTTGAAATGTTGCTCAATATGAAGTGGGACCCAGTAATGAAATTTTAAATTTCTTTAATAGTCACAGTGTTCAGGAAATTTGCTGAACTTGGCAAACTTGGTTGCCATGAAAACAGAAAATAGTACAGGCAAAAACTAAAGGCTGTGCTTTTCTCAAGCAGCTGCTTTGAATGACTTTTCACGTCTTCAGTTTCTTCAGGTATACAAGCTTGCTCTCAAGTCCTCGTTACCCTAGGCTGATCGATCTCCTTCCTTCATTCCTTCCTTTTAAGGGGAAAAAAGGAGGAAAGGTAGCTGGCTTGCTGACAGACCTCCATAAAATTTCCTTAATAATGCAGAGCTCTTAGTCTTTTCAGTGAGGAATTGCACATTCTGTATGATAGTTCAAATGACACACTTGGTACTAGTTTGTAGTTTCACAGTAACATGACTTGAAAACTGGAAGAGAAGTCTGTGTGATCGATTTAAAGAGCATCAGTTAAGGGTTAACTCATCTCCCGTTTCTGGAGTCAGCGTGAAATTCTGACTGGTACTTACATCAACATTCACAGTGTGGTAATCGGTGCCGGTGGGTAACCAGCTGTGACTGCCCTCAGAGAAGCCGGCATTTGAGCTGTTGTCCCACTGCATTGGTGACTTGGAGAGAAGGGTCGCCTGTGTCAAAGGACCATAAGGAGAAAACAGTGGTCTGGTTATTAAATGAAATGTAATGTGGCCATAATTTACTTCATGATTATTTAATCACCTCTATTTCTTAGCAGCACTTGCCTTCATTAGCATTCATAATGAAAAGGTCTTAACATTCAATACATAACCAGTTTCACCCTTTAAATTGGAAAATAGTTTATGGCATCTTGAGTTTGAATAGACAGTACTAGCTGGGCTTTGATACACGCTTGGACTCTGCTGCTTCTCCCTAAAAAATGAGTAATGTAGGACTTCAAAATGTGCCATTACCACTCATTCTGCTGTGATACTGTGATGAGGGTGAATTCAACATATGCAGCCATGTACAATGAGCCTAAATTCTACCCTCTTTTGTCCAGCCCAGTTATTACACATGAATACACATACACATTTAGGAGCTGAAATAGAAAGTTTCCTTTGACCAAACACAATTGAAAGCCAATAACACAAATTATAGATTCAAGATTATTCATCAACCCAGAACACAATTATGAGATTCATAGTGTCAAACAAAAGCAAAATATAAACAGCCCAAGTCTGAGGCCGTGCATTACTTTTGTTAACATCATAGGAAGAATCTTTGTGCTGTGGGCAAGTGAGATCTAGCAATACAGGCAAGCACTATAAATGACTATTCCTGAACATGTAGAGGGCATGAATAATATTCCAAACTCAAAACTGGTTCTCAGATTTTAGTATGCCTGAGAATCAGCTGGGAAACATCTTTAAAATGCAAATTCCTGGCCCTGGCCGGGAAGCTCAGTTGGTTAGAGCATCATCCAGATTCACCAAGGTTGCAGGTTTGATCCCCAGTCAGGGCACACACAAGATTCAACCAGTGAGTTCATTCATAAGTGAAACAACAAATTGTTTCACTCCCCTTCCCACTCCTCTGTCTCTCAAATTAAAAAGAAATCCAGATTTCTGGGCTCTCCACAGAAATTCAGTTGTGTCTCACTTTCATGTCTCATTTTTTTTTATTTCTTTTTAGAGAGGGGAAGGGAGGGAGAAAGTGAGGGAGAGAAACATCGACGTGAGAAACACGACGGGGGCCTCCCGCACGCCCCCAGCCGGGCACCCGGCCCGCAACCCCGGCGTGGGCCCTGAACGGGAGTCATACCCAGCGACCTACAGGTTTGCCGTGTGACCCCTGCCCCACTGAGCCACACCAGTCAGGGCCTTGTGCGGCTCCCCAGCCAAGAGAGCTGAGAATTCTTACTGTCTTTAACAGTAATAAAGAAAAGCAAAATAATGATATTTAGCGGTAGAATAGAAAAATAAATCTGCTTTGGCAAAAATGAGTATATGGTATGGTGCCTGGTTAAATTATATTAACTTACAATATCATAGCTTTCGTTGATATTTGCGGCTAAAATATTTCCCATTCCTATTTCTTCTCCGTAGTAAGTGATGGGGGTTCCAGGAAGTGTGAAAACAAGCATGTTCATGATGCTGACATATTCCTTCCCCAAACGAGAGGTCAGCCGGGCTTTGTCCGGGCCACCGATCTAAAAGGCATATAATTTTAACAGTGCAACTCTGTACACAGTTTTCCAGAAGATTTGCCATTTCACAAAAAGTTTCATCAGGTGAAAAACAAGGTTGGCACCATGGATACCCTGGTATCAGCAACGCTGGACTCGAGTCCCAACCTTGTTAGTTGGTGCACAACTGACCAACTTACTGTCTTGGCCATTATGATCAACAAAATAATATACTTCACAATGATACTGCAAATCAGAGGAGGTTTAAAAATAATATCTTTGCCCATTTGGATAAGAGAATATTTGACAGGAAAGGAAGCAACTTTTTCCCGTAGAGAACAGGACAAGGACAGAACAGGTGGACCAGACGGTGGTAGAACAACTTCCGATGTCTGTGACTTTCAGACTATTCAAATGTTAAAAGATAACTTTTATAAAGAAATGTACATAGCCACGTGGAAACTTTTTGTAAACTTTTCTATTTTTAAATACAGGGTTTCTATATTTAGTGGTCCCGTTACATGTTGTGACATCTAGTCCTTATCTGAGCGTCCATTTAAACCACCCAGCCATTCTTTCCACGCACCACGACTCAGTCTCACTTGCATGTGTGGAGCGTGGCACTTCGCAGCTTAAAAAGTACTTTCACACCTACGCTGTGTCTTTATTCCCCCTCCACTGCGGTGCTGTCAAGTATCATCTCCAGTTCACAAATGATGACACTGAGAAACGCGTCATTTACTCAGGTCAGGGCACAAGGCAGAAAGTAGCCTTCGAACCCGAGTCTGAGAGCAGGAACTTAGTTGCTACAATTCAGGAGAAAGGCGACTTTTTTCCCCTATTTAGATGTACTAAAATCATCTTTACAATTATCTATTATAGGCCATTGTAAAGTATTTTTCTACTGTTTTAGTCCTCACCAGAGGATAGGTTTATTGATTTTTTTAAGGGCAGAGGGAGGCAGAGGAACATCAATGTGAGAGAAATGTCAATTGGCCACTTCCTGTACATGCCCGGTGCCCACCCAGGGGTTCACACCTGCAGTGTTTTGGTGTATGGGATGACACTCTATCCAACTGAACCCCCAGCTGGGGCTTATTTTTCAATTTTTATGGACCGAAAATTGGGTCAAGTTTTGCCTCCATTTATTCTTTTCATCATCTAAAAGTGTCTGACAAGAAACCCTGGGATATTCAAGCCTTCGGGACCTAGAACACTCCCCGCCCCCCTACCCCACCCAGAACTGTTTGTACGGGTAGTTCACAGCGGTGGACAGAGATCAGGGCCTCCCACAGGATGAGCGGTCCCAGTCCCCTATGATACCTGAGACTTTCAGCATGTGAAAAAACAAGTGCTAAAACTACAATACGAAACGTGTGATAGGGGGCACTTCTGGAATGGTACAGTCAGGACCGCTAAAAATCTCCACCATAAAAGGAGACTGCTGGTGAAAACTAAAAATCCGCTTTTTTAGAACTCTGGAAATTAACTAAAGGCTTGCAACAATCCAAGGAGCATTTATTCAAGAAAAACAGCTGGATCTCAGAACGGCAAGCTATGTGTCATTTTAACCTGCCCTGACTTCATGCCTCCCGCCCTGAGATCTGTGATAGCCTTGGGAACCAGCAGATCTGTAACTACAGTAGCTGTGGCAGAACAGGTAGCATTCACCAAAAGATATCTGAAGAATGTCACTCTGACCTCTCTCACAGCTCAGATTTTGGTTTTTGGTTTCATTTTCTTTTTCCCTTTACCTGATCTGATTGAGAGATTCTGCAAATAGCCCCATTTCCAGGGCATTAGCCAAAAACTACCAGCAGCAGTTCACATGACACCTGCCTAGCGTAGTGGCACCAGTCGGGATAAGCAGAGACTGGCCAAGAAACCTGGAGGCTGGAGAACGGGACGTGCGTTAGGGGCACTGACTTATTCCTGGGATCCAGGAGGCTGCACCGACGTACACGGCTGAGCAGCTGCCCAGGGAAGACCTGAGGCTGTTTCAAGGCACTGTTTAAGGAACTGCCAGTCATGAGGAGGATTAACTCAAGAAAGTCACCAAAGAAACAGCAATAAACACTAAGGAGGGGCGAACGTGAATGCCAGAATTTCCACATTACATTTTTTAAAATACCCAGTTTTCAAAACAATAAAAAGAATACAAGCATGGAAAGGAACAGAAGAGTACAGCCCATGCATAAGGGAGGAGAGCATTCAATAGAAAATGTGGCTGAGAAAACCCAAACATAGCACTTACTAGATAAAGACTTTAAATCAACTATTATACATTTGTTCAAAGAGCGAAACTGTAGACCAGAGACATTGAAATAAAGAACAAACTGACAGTAACCAGAGGGGAGTGGAGAGGAGGAAAACGGGGGAAAAGGGAAGGGTCATCAAGGAACAAGTATAAAAGATCCATGGACAGAGGATTGAAGGTGGGAGGCAGGGGGCGGGGGAAAGTGGGGAGGGATAATGGAGACAGCTGTACTTGAACAACAGTAAAAAAATTTAAGGGAAAGTATGATGAACATGTGTCATCAAATAGCTACTCTTAATAAAGAGAAACTATGAAAAAGAACCAAGTAGAAATTTCAGTTGAAAAGTGCAATAAGAGAAATGATAAATTCAGTAGAGCGGCTTGACAAATTTGGACCAGCAGAGGAATCAGCAAAATTCAAGACAGATCACTTGAGATGATAGCCTGAGAACCAGAAGGAAAAGAAGAAAAATGAGAAGAATGTGGTCAGAAGCTGGGATGAGCCTGGCTCACTAAACAATCACCGAATAAGGGAAGGGCAAAGGTCACTAAGAGATGAACAGCCTTCGATTCAGAGGTGACTATTCCGTAAGCTCACCAGCACCAGAAATGCTGAGCAGGGCATGAGGACTCACCATCCAGTTAGGCCATTTTCCTTCTGGCATATGTTCCATCCAGGATGTGATAATCTCAAACACACCATTCCCAGAAGGACTGTCTAGCCCTGTGAGGTAATCGTTAAAGGGAAAATCTGCTTCTTGGATAAAAGGCAACCCGTAGTACATCATGGCACTGTCAACGCTGTCTCCGAAGGCTTCGGTCCCCATGAACCTGCAAGAGTCGGCGGGGTACAATGTTTTCAGGGCCTGGGGAAGTGCTGATAATCTGATTAACAAGAGGTGGGAGGTGAGTGCACGCTATGAAACCATAGCCGGCTGGGACCCACTAGAAAGCATTGTCAAGCCAGATGACCAAGAAATGACACAGTGGGTCACCTGGACAATTCCTCATTGTAATAAATTGTACTCTAAGGAGGAGAAAGTTCTTTAACTCCTTTTCTATTGATTCGGTTGGGTGATTATAGAAACATAGTAAGGGTTAAGTTTATTTTGTTAGTATGTGCTAGAAACTGTTTAAATGCTTCCTATACATTACTCACAACAGCCCCATAAGGGTGTGGCTATCACCTTTTAATTGACGAGAAAACCAAGCCTTAGGGTTAACGGACCAGTTCAGGGTCGCACAGCCCCGAGCAGGCGTCCCTCCAGGCCCATCTGAGCCCAAAGCTGCGCTCCTAACCATTGTGACTCACTAAGGGTTTAGCTGAGACATCTGGATTCATACTGTGCAAGGATACAATAACAAGTCAAATAATAATGATGACTAATTTAGGTAACATTATCTTTTAATTTTCACCAAATTCCTGTGAAATAAGTACCATGGTTAGCATTTTACAAAAGAGAAAACTGAAAATCAGCGAAGTTAAGCAATATGACTGAATATACCAGGCCCTGGCCTAAGCAAGTTACAATACATTGTAATTATGCAAGTTTGTTTAATTGACGTGCGAAAGGATGTGAGGGCGGAACTGCTGCACCTGTGAAGTACGGGCGTCCCCCCCCCCATGGTTACCTGTATCTCCCAGGCTCCGTGCTATGTTGGTTCATTATCTGCCGGAAGCTCCGGACAATGTCGTGCATTCCCACCTGCGTGGTGGTGAAGTCGTGGTACAGCTCCGAGTAGTGTGTGACTGTGTCCTTTGAAAACAGGACAGCACGGTTAGCATCACACCCACATCAAATGCCCAGACTCTAGACTGACTCTTAGGAGTTCTCAAGCCAAGACACATGGTCAGAGAAGGTCCCGGCATGCTCAGTGCTCAAGGGGCTTTGTGATGGAGACATTCATGCCTATCAGTACATCACGTGATGCTTAAATTATTAACTATAAACCTAGTAAACAAATTCTCCTGGACATGGAAACATTGATAACAGACACGTGCCCAACAAAATCCTCATCCTAAACATTGAATTGTCCTAAATGCTCCAGACAATTTCAAAGGCAAACTAAACAAATTATCTAAATGATTACAGAGCTCATTATTATACCTACACTTTATCTGCTCACAAATTATCAATATCATGCATTTAAACTTTTTTCCCCACCACTTTTTCATTGTCACTGCTATGCTCCCCCAGCCAGGGCTGTGGTGGTTTTTCCTGACACTCACCCTGCGCCTCCCTAGGTCTGCGTAGTCCAGAATCCACAGAAGAGGTTGTAGCTAACACGAGCCAAGGCTAAAGTCCTGGAATGGACAGGCTGCACAATCCAAACCTGAGTTGCCATCCATTCAGTGGACCCTTGTGTTGTTTTTTTTTATAAGTGAACTTCCAAGTGAATTTTTTGCGATCTTAGATCTCTTCCTGAAATAACATATTCTTTACATTTTTCTGGGATGGCACACAAATCCCATTGTTTTTTTGATCATTTGTCAAGACTGGAAAGGTAGGCCTTTCTTATGACATCTCATTATCAAAGAGCAAGGTTATTTTGCGATTTCTGTTCAAGGATAAGTGCTTCTCTTTGGGACAACTGACTGATTCATCACCTTTTTTTTCCTTTTTGTTGAAAATAATGTGCAAAAAAAATTGGCTTAATCATGATGGGCTCTCATAATTAGCCCATACAAGATGGCCAACTTCCCTGTAGTTAATTGGTTTTAATGAAGTCACAAGTACTCATAAGTCTGTTAGGACAAAAGCTTAGAAGCTTGATAATAAACTGGGTAACCATACGAATCTCATTCTACTTGCTTATCTTTATAAAAAGGGCATCACACTATACATAATAATTTTAGATTTTTTTGGCTACACATTACAGTGTTAAGATTCACCCATATTGTTGTGTATCACTGTAATTCACTTATTTTGACATTCTGTTGTGTAAATATACAAATCCATTATTCCGGAAAGCATTTTAGGACTACTGTCACCTTGGCCTTGAAAACAGAGTGACTGTAGATGGTGGTCACCCAGGGGAATCAAGTGGCACGTGATTAGTATGCCTCACGTGTGACGGGAGACTTGAGAACCCCCGGTGCAGCACCGCAACGAGCCCAGGTCCCGCAGCCAGGTGGGCTTGGTTTGTAACTCCATTGATCACCTGTTCTCCCTGGTAAGTTAATTTCTCTAAGACTTACTAAATGGGGATCATGACACCTTCCCCATAAGATGTTCAGAGAGTTACATGGAATATCCTACATAAGCAGCGCACAGCATACAATAGACACTCAGCAAGTGTTCTCTCCTTCCTGTCCACCTGCGTGTCCTTTAACGATCACAGAAGCGCCTGGGGAATTCAGGCCTCCTCTCCTGAGCCTGAGTAAGGTCGCAAAATAGCAGCGAGTAGTGGTGGCCCTTGGTGGAGCCCACGCTGTCTGTGCCCTCTGAACCCATGTCACCAAAGGACACCCCAGGGGATCCCTCCCTCATGAGGGAGCCAGCAGAAGGAAACATCCAGTAGCATGCATCTGAAACTCATTATTTGCTAAAGACAATGATTTAGAGCACTTCCCACAGACAGGACAGAATGCATCTCTGGTGACTCATGTCTCAGACTAAAGAAAATGGTGACATTTTCAGAAAAGGAAAAAAAAAATGTCTAAAACCAAATGTTACCGGGATTTGGTTCTTGTTCACTTGGGCCTCATCCCTCAGATGCTTTGCTTCTAGAAGAAATTTAACAGTCTCAAAACTTAGGCCATCAACGCCCTTTGCGAGCCAGAACTGAATGAGTTCCTAAAAGGAAGAAGCAAAATACTTGGTTATATTAGCTACTCATTATCATAATATTTAAGAAAGATTTTGTTATTAAAACAATCTCCACATATAAAACATGCATAGCCCTTAGTGTATTTTTATCCATTTAGCATAGTAGTGCCTCCGTTTAATAAACTCAGTAATTGCATTTATGGACTCCCATACCTCCTTCATATTTGAATTCAGAATGTTACATTTGTAATTGATGTTATAAGCATGTTCTCAAAGTTTAAAGAATCCATTCAAAATGAAAGCTAGGACTCAGGAGAGACTGGGAACCATACCGTCCCCCTCCTCATGCCTGGTTCCTTACAGGTCACTCCAAACCCAGAGAAGATAAACAATTAAGTGCCTGGTCATGAAAGGCCCTTCCGCCACACTGGGAGATGCTCAAGGGGAAGCCTGCAGCTTCATTTCTGTCTCCCTTGCCTTTGACCCACCACTTGGTACTTAATGAACCGGGCATGGGATAAAAGGAGGCAGAGCCAGCCAGAATGAGCTGAACATGCAGTGATCCTGACGGGAAACCAGCACAGCACGCTCCCTGGCTGGGAGGCCTGCACAGGATAGCTGGGGACACACGACCAGGTCAACCTAGTAGTGCCGGGCAGAGCACAGTTCAGCCTCATCAGAGGGGAGGTCTCTGTCTGCAGGACTGCTCGAGCTCCAGGCTGATCTAATTTACCATGGCTGAGTACTACCAGAAAGGGAAGAACTAGTGTTTGAACTCAGCCGCTGGGATTTCATCTGGGAGGGAGATGAGGAAGAGCACCCTGGACTGTTGGCGGGACAGCATGAACCAGTGGGGGAGGGCGGAGGCTGACTCGCGTCGGCCTCTGTTGGGGCCTTTGGGAGGAACAGGCCCTTGAAAAGCAGAGGACCCAGGTGTCAGCTCCCCATCCCACCCCGCCTGGCCTATGCCAGCCTGGCCTACGCCAGCACTGAGCACAGCTACCCTTCTGCCAAGGGACAGCGCGGCTCTCCCCACTGCTCTTGGCTCATCCCTTGCTGAATGGAAGGCTTTACAGGAATGCATCGCATCAGAGCAGAACCACCTGCCATTCAAAGTACTAGAGCTAAGTAACCAATCTTCACCCATTGAGGGGAACAGAGACATAGAACCCTGATGAGAACTATCCCCAAAATCCCTTGTTTGAAGTGTTTCTTGTATCTACATGTGAATATGGCATCTCTAGGCTGCTGTGATTCAAGGGTCTCAAAAGTGTCGAGAGGCTAACTGCAAGGGTTCATACTGCCGGGGTCCATTCCTCTAAGGCAACATTTTTGAATGGCAAAGCTTGAAAAATTTTTTCAAATCTATGCAGGCTCTGCTGCTGACAACCCTTAGCATGGGCACATTGATGCAAATCACTTTAAGTTGGCACAACCCAGTGGAATTTTTCTTTGGGCACAAAGCACACAAATTTGTTTTTACTAGCGTCTTAACTTCTTACCAAATTGTGTTCATTCGGTAAGTATCCGAGTTCCAACTCTGGGCCAGGCACTCAGCTAAGCCCTGGAACTACAGGCTGAGCTACAAGCCGGTGGCGCTGTTTGCCCTAGAGGGGACAGTGGAAGCGGATCAGGGTGGGACAAATAGCTGTAATCCAGCCAAGCAGCCCAACAAAAATGTGGGAAAACATCCAACACCATGATGTTGGAAACACGAAGCTTCTGAGCGCTGATTTCCTGGAATAAAGCTCCGAGTTTTCTTCACAGGTTCTGTACTGGCTTAGGGAGGGGTCCTCAGCCTCGTTAATGATCCACCCGAAATTACAGGATGAGAAATGGGTGCCCCAGGAGACGTGGGTGCCCCAGCAGAGGTTGATGCCCCAGGCAGGGTTTTCAGGTTGGTCCAGCAAGAGATACGACCATTGATGAAGCATAACAGCAGGAGCTGGGTGCTTATTTTTCAGCGTCATTTTAAATGCTGAGGTTTCCACCCAAATAATTCAAAATTTGCTCTTGAAAAATATTTGCTTCATGCTATTTATGCTCTCGATCAGGTGAGAAAAGAGGGCCCCGATCTTAATCATGAACCCTCCCTTCACTCCAGTGAGCCCTCCCAGAGTCCTGCGGTGCCGGCTGTGGAAATGGGCCCGGAGCCCGGCTCCACCAGGACTGGATGACCCACAAAAGCTCCACAGGACTCTGGGGACGGTACACTGTGTCCCCGATCCCTCTCTAACTCCCACAACATCACACAGTCCCCGTTTCTCACCCAACACGTGTTCATTCTTTTCTTTTTAAACAACTCGCTACTCTGAGAGGAAAGGAATTATATCAACATTATTGATATCCATGTTCACGAAACCTTGAGGCAAACCTTTCCTTTTAAGATGCCCAAAGTGACTGGGCCCATTTACCTAAAAAGCCAAGTTTGGGAAAGAGAAGCTGTGCTATTACATGTGACAATCGATTAGACTTCCTTTGGATAACCCCACGTCGTCCATCGCAAGAAGGAATGAGGAAGTACAGGATACTTCAGAAGTGCAGGAAAAAACCCTATTCTCTGCACACAGGGAAAGGAAAGAAAACGGACTGTAGTGTCACTCTGAAGTCTTGGTGAAATTCTTTGCTAAATTCCCCCAGGAGCAGAGAGAAGAGGAAGGATCCCGGGCTCTGGAATCGAACCCTCCACGTACTGTCCTCTCGCCCCCACGGTCCAGGTGCATGAGCTAGGGCATCGGCATGACCTCACTAAACCTTAAATAAAGTAATACCCACCTGCGGAGTTTCCGTGAGGTTAACAAGCTACTGCTGCTAGAGTCCATGAACATGTCGGTGTTTATATTCCTTGATCTCTGCCACGGTTGACACTGCTCACTGACTGTGTCTTCCCCAAAGCCACCCCTGACTGCAGGACACGCCGCTCCGGGCCGGCCACTCCCTGTCTGTGTTCTCAGCAGGCCTTTAAATGTCCGAGCTCCTTGGGGCTCCATCTGATATCTTCTCTTCATTTCACTTCACAGCAATATTTACTCATTTATCTATCCACTTATTGATGATTTAACAAGTACTTATATAATAAGGAATACATTGTTGTAAGTGCTTTACAAAAGTTAAACCCTTTAATCCCTAAACCACCCTGCGAGGTACGTACTATTATTGTTCCTGTTTTTACCAACGAGGCAGCTGAGGCACAAGGAGATGAAATACCCTGACCACGGTCATACAGTGAGTGGAGGCACCGGAACTGGAGCCCTATGGCACCCTTACCCTTTTACTATGCTTTATTTATTTTTTAATTGGAAGGCCCACGAACACCTGGCCCCCATCCCCACATAACAACGGTCAGCGCGAGCTAAGCTGCAGCCGGCCCCCCGTCCCTCTCAGCCAGCCCAGCTCTCTCGCCGACGTGGCCTGCCCGACCTCTGCAGGCACCGACCATTCGTCAGCAAACCCCAAAGTGGGACCTCTAGACCAGACATGTCCCTGAGCTCCATGTCCTATATTCAAGTGTCCATTGAATGCCTGGCTGTCTCACAGGAAGCTCAAGCTCTGCAGAACTAAGACCCCCCCCCCCCCCCCCGTCCACTTCTTGGGCCTCCCATCTCAAGGAATGGCGCCATCACCCAGTCGGCATTGAAGTCCCGAACCTGGGAGTCACGCCGACCCCTCCCTAACTGCTGACGGTTTCTCTGCAGCCCCACGCCACCTCCCGGGTCCAAAGTCCCAGCATCGCCTTCCTGACCACTGCCCCACCCGCTTCCCCAGCCTCTCGGCCTCCAAGCCTGCTCCACTCAGACCTCTTCTCCAAAGCCAGGCTGATCTTTCAAACTGCAAAACAAAAATTATTTCCCTAAGACCTTTTAAACCCAAATCCTTACCACCATCCTTACCCTGCTCAGACCTCAGCGCTCCCTAGTCGTGCTGAGTCAGGCTCCCTCTCCCATGCCCTTCCCAGCCACATGGGACAACTGCTGCCAACCCCTGATACCCGTCACCCATGCTTTCTCTCGGCTTCAAACACTCCCACCGGAGCCTCTTCACTGAGCCCGTTCGTGCTCGTCCATGAGGTGTCATTGTATCCTCTGAAAACCTTCCCTGACCGCTCCCACCCCGTGACCCCCTGCCCAGGTTAGGTGCCTGCCCCGTGAGCTCCTACTGCCCACCCTCATGGTCACTTTGCCCACTTTACTGTAACCGCCTGTTTGTCTATCACCCCCTACAGAATGCGGCCCCCCACAGTGGCTACAACAAGTGTCTCGCTTACCAACCATAAGAGTCCTGGCTTATGATCAATATGCAATGCATATTGTTAAATGAGTAGATGATTTATAATAAAATGTACGGCATAGAAGAGGTGCACTAAATGGCACAGTTACCATCAAGCACAGAGCTGGTTTATTAAGCAGGTAGTGAGTAAATTTCATTTCCCGTTGAGCTGCTTGTCTCCAGCAATGCCGTGTTCAGTGCGGTGGAGCAGAGCTGACATTTGCCCGGGATCCCATCTTACCCTGGGAGGGCACCTGGGCTCCTTGTCCCCAGCTGCTGTGAACACACTAACTCCCCAGGATCCCCGAACCTGGTGCTCAGAATTCCCTCCCACGTGGCAGATTCAGGGTCATACTGAGCCCCAAACATGGGGTCGGAGCATCTGGAGTCCCTTCCTCCCTATGCCACTAATCTATGGGGCCCATGGGGCCCTTCACCTCTCCAGGCCTCAGTTTGTTCTCACTTATCAAATAAGAGATGTGGAGGGCAAGTAAAAGCCAAAGTAACTGGACAAGTTACATATGGGCTCCCACCTTCTCCAAGGCGGCTTCCTAACTATTCTAGCTGAAAACACTCAAGCCCTGAGAGGTTCATGGCGCAGCCAAGTCCCCTGATGACCAGTGCCAAGGGGAGGACAAAGAGGAGGAGAGAGGACAGTGTTTTGTGCTGTGTGTCCCCTGCCTGCCCAGCTTCCCTCTGTGCAGATGGGAACCAGCGGGAAGAAGGCTCAGGCTCTTTGAGTACAAACTGGTATGCAAACCAATTCCAAATGCCTGCTCACCGCAAACCTTCTGGGTTTCAAACAACTAACCTGCTGAACTACCAAAGAGATGAGTGCTGCTGGGGGTATAGGAGGGTGTCAGAAGTCCCCTTTATGTGAAAGGTCATTCTCCAGGGGCAAAGAGCCTTCCCTTCTTGGCCTTTCTGATTTACTTCTAACAGTGAATCTTCTACACCAAGCTTGCAAATAATATCTAACCTCTCAACTGGAGACAGTAATGATTCATCCCAAAAGGAAATGCATCCTGCAAGACTAGTAAATAAGGCTCCTATTCACTCACTCAACTGCTTGAATGCCGGCAAGCGAACAGATGGGGTAGTCAAAAATAGTCAATGTATTGGCTGGCCCATTTTAGCTAAATTTATCACACTTGTCTAAACATCTCTAGACAACCCACCACAATTACCCTAGGCGCCCATAGAAATCCACTGCCTGATAAACCAACTGGTTTATAGTCATAAATTTTGACTGAAAACCACCTTGAAAAAATGTGTCTAGGAAAATGAAGCATACAGAGAGAAACAGTTTGCCTCAAATCCAATGTGGAGCTGTGGTTAAGAGCAAGGACTTTGGAGTCCCAATGCCTGGGTTTGAATCCAGGTCCTTTTCACCCCAGGTGGGTGACTTCACCTCTTTAGGCTTCAGTTTCCTTCTTTGCACAATGGTCATACCCTCCTGAATTAGGCTTGTTCTGAGCATTAAATGATCCAGGTAAAGCACTTGGCACAAATAAGTGACCAATAAGTATACATAGAAGGAAGGGGGAGGTGCGGGTTTGCAAACAATCCTAGGTGATGGAGAAGCAAAGAGACCACACTCTACCAGATAAGTTCAAAACAAATCTCTAGTTAGTCCACTAATTGTGTCTGTGACCCCTTAAACTTCTACTCCCCTGTCTCCCAAAGAGACAGGGCTGGCCTGATGTGGTGCTTTCTTCTAGAACAGATCCCAAAGCAATTTATATTCTGAAAAACATCAAACATATATAGTAGGAACAGTCCTAAAACTAAGGAGTCTGTAGGAATATATTTAACAAAAGGAATTTAGGGCTTGAACACTGAAAACAACAAATCATTGTTGGAAGACACTAAAGACCTTTAGAAGTGGGAAGACATCCTGTGCTCATGGATCAGAAGACTTACTATTGTTAAGGTAGCAATATTCTCCCAAACTGACGCACAGATTTAGTGCAAACCCTATCACAATCCTAGCAGCAGGCTTCCTGCAGAAATTGGCAAGAGGATCCTAAAATGCATATGGAAATGAAAAGAGACAAAAAAAGTCTTGAAAGAGGATAATGAAGTTGTAGGACTCACACCTTTCAATTTCAAATTTTACTACAAAGCTATACTAATCCAGACAATGTGATACTGGCTTAAAGACAGACATATACATCAATAAAACAGAACTGAGTCCAGAAATAAACCCTGATATTTATGTTCAATTGATTTTCAAAAAGGTTTCAGGGTGATTTAATGGGGAAAATATGATCTTTTTTTAACACATCGTGCTGGGATACCCGGATAGCCACAGGCCAAAGAATGAAGTTGGATCCCCTCACATAATATATTAAACGTAAGAGCTAAAACTATAAAACTCTTAGAAGAAAACATGGAAGTAAATCTTCATGACCTTAGGTTAGGCAACGGTTCTTAACTATGAAACTACAAGCACAAGCAACAAAATAAAAAAGTAGATAAATTGGATATCATAACAATTAAAAACTCTTGTGCTTCAAAGGGAATCATCAAGAGAGTAAATAGGCAACCCACAGAATGGAATAAAATTAATTGCAAATCATGTATACAGACTAGATAAAGAATGCTTACAACTCAACAATAAAAAAGACAACACAATTTAAAAATGGGAGAAGGATTAGAATAGACATTTCTTCAATTAAAATATAAAAATAAACTATAAATACATGAAAAGATGCTCAACATCGTTAGCCATCAGGGAAATACAAATCAAAACCACAGTGACATACCATTTTATACCCACTAGGATGACTAACATCAAATAAACAGACAATACTAGTGTTGGTGAGGAGGCAGAGAAATCAGAACCCTCACACACTGCCAGTGGGGATAGGAAACCGTGCAGCTGCTTTGGAAAACAATTTGGCAGTTTCTCAAATAAATACAGATTATAAATATAGATATATATCATAGGTAAATAATTATGTATTTCATTTCTAAGAAATGTCCAAAATGGGCATGTCTGTAGAGACAGGAAGTAGGTTACTGGTTGCCAGGGCCCTGGGGAGTGCCAACTAATGGGTCTGAATTTCCTTTGGGGGTGATGAAAACGTTCTGAAATTAGTGGTGATAGTGGCATAACTCTGTGAACATACTAAAACCACTGAATGATACACTTGAAAGGGGTGAATCTTGTAGTCTGTGTATTATATATCTCAGAGCTTTTATTTGAAAACAAAACAAGAACAACCTAAGGAGCGTAGGTGCCTTCACGATTCCAACATGGCAGCCCACATCCTCTCCATTTGGCTGCCATGGCGAGCTGCAGAAAGGGGCCCGGGCCTGCCGGTTCGGCTGTGGTCTCCACCCCATCTACCTCAGGGTACTCCCCCACTAACCTAAATTCTTACCCATTACAGCCAGAGCGGCAGCAATAACGACAACAGAAACATGGCTAATGTTTATTGTGAATTATGTGTCAGGTGTTCCTGGAATGGCCGCCACACAGGTGAGAACAGGAGCCCCATCAGCATTCACCTGGGTCACAGCAGGAAACCTCCTGTGCTCAGACCTCAAAGGGATCTTCCATAGCTCAGCATGTACCCCTTGCAATAGCACCCACGGCCCTAACGCATCAGCCTCCACCTGCTTTGCACCTCAGCCCCTAAACTCTCTCCCTCATTTCACTCTAGTGCACTGGTAGTGTTGCCAGATGAAATACGGGAGAGCCAGATAAATTTTAATTTCAGATAAGCAATGAATAATTTTCCAGTAGAAGTATGTCCCAAATATTGCATTATTCATTGTTTATCTGAAATTAAAATTTCACCAGGTATCCTATCATTTTATCTGGCAACCCTAGGTACTGGCCTCAGGTCGTTCCTGAAACACAGGAAGCATAATCTCCGTGGAGGTCTTTGCATTTGTTCTTCCCTCTGCCTGAAATTCTCTTCCCCCAACTAGTTACATGACTCCCTTTCAAAATTCAGATTTTTGTCCAAGCAGGACCTCATTTTAGGGCTATCTCTGAATCAATTCCCTGACACTTTGAGGTCCCTGGCCCTTAGCAGTCACCACCACCTGCCCTGCTATACATTTGGTCGGTACCCTCGGTATACTAGAGACTCTTTGAGGGCAGGGCTGCTTGTATTCACTGCTACATTCTCAGTGCTTAGAACAGGACCTGGCATGCAGCAGACAGTAAGTTAACACTCATCACTGAGTGAATACAGAAGTGTTGTTCATGGTTATTTCATTGTGATGTTCAAAAAGTCCTGTGAGACAAACAATTGTATCAGCTCCGTTTCACATAGACAAGCAATCTGAAAGGCCAAAGAACTCACTTCTGAGCTCACTGCAGCCAATGGCAGGGTTGGTGCGGATGCAGGAGCCAGACACTAGAGCTCACAGCTTGCCCACCTTCCTGCAAGAGCTTCACCATCACAGGCCCAGGAGCAACTCAGAGCTAAGGCAGCAGGTGTTTCTGCCTCCCTCCCATTTTGATTATTTTGGGTTAGAGGAAGGAAGGCTCCCCTAACATATCTGAGAGTCTACGTTTGCATCTGACTAACACCTTAATTGCAGAATTTAACTACACTACTGGATTTTGCCCACACAATTATTGTTCAACATAAAGCATATCAAATAACCACCTGAGCAGCGTGTCATAGAGAAGTCGATGTAGGTGTCTATACTCACTTTTATTTCTCCTTGAACATCAGGATTGCGGAAATTTAAATCAGGCTGCTCTTTTGTAAACTGGTGAAAATAACATTGGTTTCGTACTTCATCAAAGTGCCAGCTGGAATTTCCATATACACTTAACTAGCAAATAGAAAACAGTAAATCGGTTACTTGGCATTATTCATGTGATGATGTTTCCCATAGGGGAAAAAAGTGGTTAATTGCCATTCCTGGCCCTCCCCCCAGGCTAAGTGTACAAATCCCCAGAATTTCTCTTCCAGGAAGAACACTGGGTAAATTAATTCCCCAAAATGCCATCCATTGGCCTAATGCCCCCCAAACATGTTGTGATGTGTTTGTATAGTAGAAGCTGTTTATAACAACTACAATAGCAAATTAATGCTCTCAAATGTAGGATAAGACCAGCTGATGGAGTAGACATTTCTAGCATATTTTCTTGAACATTCTATTCAGGCTCTGAACTCCTCTTTGTGAAGAAAAACAAATGATGGTCGATTTGAGAGAAAGACACATTTTACTGGTCATGGAATTTGAATCCAAACAGAGTCATTATTTAAGCTGCATCCTCAGAAAAATATTAGAATCATTCAATTACAAATTCTACTAGTCCTGGAAAATCAAGATGGCAGAGTAATGAATGGAAGTTACACTGACCTCCTCCCAGGACCAATCTGGAATTACAACTAAATTGTGGAGAAATCACCTGGAACAAACAACTGAACAATAGCAGGAGAGGAACCTTATAACCTTGGACAGGCAGAAGAATCAGCTTTAGCACAACCTAACTGGTAAGGAGTGCAGTAGACTCAAGAAACCAGGAGGGGCACCCACAGAAAGCAGCACTAGAAGGATACTGAAACGGCCAGTTGGATCCCCCTAAGAAAAGCAGGATCTAAGCCATAAGCAGGGATCTCCAGCCTACAGCACCAGAGCCCAAATAGTACACATATAACAACCAGCTGCAAGAAGCGGCAGGGTTGCTCTCTGCCAGACACAGGTGGCTGGAGACACAAAGAGCCTTTTAAAGGGCCAATGCATAAATTTTTGCACTTGATCTTAGCCAAAAGGCCGAGAAGCGATCCAACGCATAAATTTTTATTTCCAGACACTTACCCTGGTCTCCAGCAAAGGTGTGAGCTGAGTGGGCTAGAGACACCTGAGGAGAGACTGGGGAAGGAAGCTTTAAGGAGAGAACTGAAAGAGTAGCCACCGGGATCCTGGTGCTGATTCATCCCCCATATGGCAGCAGCCATCTTGCTCAGTCTGACCACTCCCCTGAGTGTCAATAGCAGGAGAGAACCCAAAACCCCGCCCTCAGGAGGGACTTTGCCCTGCCCTGTGGTGCCTAAGCCTGACTGCTGAGTGCAGAGTGACTAGATTAACAACTGAAGGAGATAGCCACAGACAGTAGATTACTGGAAGTCTCGAACAGACTGCCTAGAGTCAGATAGGGTCAACATCTGACATCATCAGAGCAGATCCAGAAAGGAAAAACAGTGGTCTCCTACCACATATGTTTACACCACAAAGTAAGGAAATCAATACAGATCAATTTAAGAAGCAGGAGTAAAAAAAGAAGAGTCTCACAAATAATAGGAGGGCAAAGGAACACCCCCTAGTCAAAGAGAAAGGCAGAATTCCCAGAAAGAGAATGAAATGAAATAGAGGCAAGTAAACTATCAGATATTGAGTTCAAAACAATGATTCTAAGGAAGCTCAATGAGATCAGGGAGCTCAAGGAGAATTACAAAACACTACAGGGAAACTACGAGGAACTTAATGCGAACTATATCAGCATGAAAAAGGACAAAGAAACTATCAACAAGAGGCAAGAGGAAATGAAGAATACAATTCCTGAATTGAAGAACACAGTAGAAGGAATCAAAAGCACATTAGATGAAGCAGAGGATCAAATCAGCAAGCTGGAAGGATAAGGCAGAAAAATGCTCCCAGAAAGAGCAAGAAAATAAAAAAGACTCAAAAAGAATGAAGAGGCATTTAGGGAAACGCAGGACATCCTGAAACATAATAATATCCATATAATAGGGATACCAGAAGGAGAAGAAAAGGAGGAAGGGATAGAGAACCTGTTTGAAAAAGTAATGATGGAAAACTTCCCTAATTGGAGGAGAAAGTCACACAAGTCTAGGAAGCACAGAGGGTCCCATTAAAGAGGAACGCAAAGAGGACGACTCCAAGACACATTATAATTCAAATGGCAAATATCAAAGACAAACAGAGAATCCTAAAGGCAGCAAGGGAGAAACAGGTAGTAACATATAAGGGAGCCCCAGTAAGGCTAACAGCTGACTTCTCAACAGAAACACTATAAGCCAGAAGGGAATGGCGAGAAATATTCCAAGTCATGAAAAGCAAAGGCCTGTAACCAAGGCTGCACTACCCAACAAGGCTCTCAATTAAAATGGAAGGTGAAATAAGGGGTTTTCCTGACAAAGAAGGCTAAAAGAATACACCCCCACCAAACCAGCACTGCAAAATATGCTAAAGGGACTGCTTTAAGATGAAGAAAAAGAGTCTATGAATACCCGGTTCCTTTCACAGTCACCAATACTTGATATTACCAATATTTTTAATATTTATTAATCTGATTGTGACAGTGATGTGTTATTTTAATTGTTACTTTATTATTTGTTGAAACTAAATCTGTTTTTGTATACTTCTTGCCTATTTCTATTATTTTTAAAAAGCTTTAAATGACTTTTTGGTATTCTTTATCCATTTTTTGATTAAATGTAAAATTTTTCCCTAAAAAGAAATTATTAACCCTTTTTAGATATGTTGCAAATACTTTCTTATTCTATTACTTGTCCTTTAACTTTTTTTAATATGTATATTACTATATAGTCTTAAATGTTTAATGTAGTCATATTGTCAATATTTTACTTTATAGTTTCTGGATTTGAATATTTTACTTCAGGGTAAGAAACATATTAGTTTGTATTTTCTCCTAAAACTCCTTAGGAGAAAATTTTCTCCTTTAACTCACCTGAATATTTTTTGTATAATGTGTGAAACAGGGCTCTATATTTGTTTTATTTCAAGTAATAGTGGTCCATGCACCTTATTCGTTGAATAAGCCTTACCTTCCCCATTGATTTGAAATATCAATTTAATCATATATTACAATGTTATACAGATATATATGTTTGTTTCTAGAATGCTCATTTTATTTCATTGATCTACTTGAATATTTCTGTGCTGGTGTTATGTGGTTTTAATTGCTGAGACTTTATAAAGGATTTAAATGTTTTAAAATTTTATAATGGATTTTGACATTTAAAAATAAATAAATAAAATCAATCTGCATTTAAAAAAAAAAAACTCTGCTAGTCCTCCCCTTTTGGCTGGACCCATCTTCCAGTAATTCACCAAAATGAATTACAAAGGAAAAGAGTACAGGCATCCACTATATGTTCTCTAGACCTTTCAGAAAATATGGAGTTGTTCCTTTGGCCACATACCTGGGAATCTACAAGAAGGAAGCCAAAGAGAAAGGTGCCTGGGCTACACTGAAGCACTAGCCTGCTCCACCCAGAGACGCACATTGTGTGAAAACCAGTGGAAAGGAGCCTTGGCTGCTTGAGCCCATTCCCTATGATTTCATGGCATGAGAAGTTTAAAAAATAAAAGACCTCTGGACTATTAAAAAAAAATCTAGCAACTTGAGGTGTTGGTACCCAGCAGGGCTTGGCCCTGGTACTGATTCCCTCTTTCTGGAAACGCTCACCCCCGCGGCTCCATGGTGTGACTCTCCTGGTGGACTCTCCTACATGTCCCACCACTCCTTCCCAGTCTGCTCGGGGGGTTCCTTAAACATGAGAGTTCCTCCGGGCTCTACCTTGGGACAGTTGTTTATTTTATGCTAAAGGGGATATCTGGAAAACACTGAAAAACAGGGGTTTTGCATGCATCTTTTCCTTCTTTTAGTTGGAAGACCTCATCACACTGAGTCCACATTTCCACGGCAACAACTGGCTGAGGCTAGCTAGTAGCCGCTGACTTTTGAGTAAACATACCTTTGTCAGCTCACCTCTTGGCCCACCTGGACATAAACCAGGATAAGATATTTACAGTAGATATGAACACAAAAAAATTGATATCCAGAATACAAGAAGAACTCTACAAAGCTATATAAATTGGTACAAACATTTGGATAGTCGATGTGGCATTATCTTGTAAAGTTGAGCATGTGATATCCTACACCCAGCAATTTCAGTCCTAGTCATTTACCTTAGAGAAGCTCTTGCACACGTGCCCCAGGAGAAATAGATTAATGAGCATGTTTACAATGGCATTGTTAATGATAAAAAAAAAAAAAAGGAAACTGGAAACAGTCCAACTTTCCATCAGCTAAAGATTAGATAAGTAAATCATAAAATATTTACACAGTGAAAATGTATGAAACACATAAACAAAAAAATGAGGGGAAAAAAAGCTAGTAATGAAAGACTACATGTAGCATAATGCATCTCATATACTTCAAAACAGAAGGAACTGAATAATAAAAACTTTAAAAACATGCAGTGCATGTGGTAACGGCAAAACAAAAGCAAGGACTTGGAAACCCTACATTCGTGGTAATGGTCCCCTCTCAGAGGAGGTTGGGGAGGGACAGAGGAGAGCCCGCAGGTGGTTTTGGCAGGGTTGGTAATGTTCAAATTCTTAGTTTGGGGAAGGGTTCATTGATGTTCACTATATTATTATTTTCCTATCTTAGATATATACAGGGTCCAGCACAAATAACACCCCTTCTTTGTTACAAAATCTCTGTTGTAGAAGAAGTGAGTATGAAGATGGTGGGAAAGGGGGCAGGTGGGTGTGTCAGCCTCTGTTCTCCCTTTGAAGTAGAGTTTACTGCTGAGCGTGATGAGATTAGGAGTAGACAGTTAGGATGTTTGAAGAGGCGGGAGGGCATGTCAATCTGTTGAACTTCACAAAATGCCAAAGAAGACTGGATGGCTGACTCATTTCAGGTGGGGACAATGAATGTGCTTTATCTCCAGGGGCAAAGGTTCAGGGAAAGAACAAGTGAACAGTTGAATTCATTTGCTGCTAGGGCGGGGGTGAGGGCAAAATGTCAGAAAGGCCAAGCGGTCTGAAGAGTAGAAAGACTACCTATGAAACTAATGGGACATGGAATCTAAGGTGGACGAAGAGGGAAGTGAAGGAAGGAGGGTGGGAGAGGCTCATAGAGAGCACAGGTTTTAATATGCTAGAACACATTAGCTCTACAGTGAGATCAGAAATTCAAGTGACATTAGGAGGCTTGGGTACCTTATTTTTATTTCTCTGGGAAACTTTCACCTTCTCATAAACTATACCCGTTAATTTTTTTTCCTTCAAAGGGCTTTATAAAATAGCCACTCTAATCCTTGAAGATCTGACCATTCTCACTTTGTAAATGAGGCAAGTTGGTACTTACCCAGTTGTTGGGTGGTGTGGTTATGCCATTTTCATGGGAACAGTTATGCCAGATGTAATAATCAGCATATTTCCCTGTCCGGTTACGACTCAGTTGAAACCAAGCATGTTTATCACTGGTGTGGTTTGGTATAAAATCGATTATTATTTTTAAACCTAATGAGTGAAAACATTTCAAGTGTTAGGAAAAGATTATATTAGACTAATACATGACAGTTAAGGAAAAAATGTTGTCAGTAAGCATTTATGGAAATCCTTTTCTCAGCCCCCACCCTGTCCCACCCACCTTCGATTCAGTTTACCTTTATCATGTATGGCTGCAACCAGATTCTCAAAATCTTTCATTGTCCCAAAAATGGGGTCAATTTCTCGGAAATCTTCAATACCATGTCGGAAATCTTTAAGGGATGATTTATAAAATGAAGTAATCCAAACAGTTTTTATATTTAAAGTTTTGATATAGTCCAATTTATCTTGAATACCTGAAGAAAAATAAACAAGGCCATGAAAAATAAGTAAATACAGTTTGGGTTTTTTGGTTGAAGAAGTAAAAACAAAAGGAATATACCTAAAATCCAAATATGTATATTAAGACAGAAATATTTGGAATTTCATTGAATTGTAGTGAAAATTTAAGTAGTAAGATCTAGCTCTACAAACAATGCCAAATTAGTCTTCTGGCAATAACCTTTGACCTTTAACATAGTTACAATAACAAAATCTGCTGTGGCTTATTCATTTTTTATATTTAAAATCAAGATACATATTGTCAATTGATTCTACACATGCTTTTTGAGCCCCTAATCTAGGCCAGCTGCTAGGCTAAGAGCCAAGGAACAAACAAGAATAACAAATGACCCCCCATGCTCACTTATTCTAAGCTGCATTGTCAAGTATGATAGCCACTTATGATGTGATGAGGTCTGAATTGAAATGTAAAACACAATGGATATTGAAGACACAGTAGGAAAGAATGTAAAATACCCATTTAATATTTTTATTGTGATCATATGTTGAAATATTAAATAAAATATAATGTTAAAATTAATTTCACTTGATTCTTTTTACTTTTTTAAAATGTGGCTCACAGAAGATTTACAGAAATTTATGTAATTCTATTTCCTCTGGATAGTGCTGAAGCCAAGAATTTACACGGAAGAGAATTCTAGACTTGGCTGAGAAGATATGCTGGAATGAAACCTTTTGTACTTGGAACTTCGTAGAGTAATTAGCAAGTAGTGTGTTTTTTGCTCCTAGTTCAGAGTCCTAAACATAAACTCAGGATCACACAGCAGGCCAAAGGTCACTGACCCCAAAACACAGTCACCTGCCTCCTGCCATGGGGATCTTCCCCTGTAACAAACTGCCCATTTTGTTCTTGTTGTGTCTCAATTCCTCCCACATGTGTGGCTATGAGACCTCACAGAGTGTCAAAAGGCAACAAAAGGAAGTTGATTTAAGTCAGAACAACAACACCATATATCTTAAAAATGGGTACAAAGGAACAAGGTGATAAAAACAATGGGGCAAACAACAATTAAAAAAACAATGGGGGGCAGGGGAAACTTGTGGCAGGAAAACAGAGACAGATGTATTTGAACAATAAAAAAATTTGAAAAAAAAAAACAAAGGGGCTGGACAAACAGAAAATAAAAGTTAAAAAAGGGATCCCAGGCTTCACGCTCTAGGAGACAGAAGGCAGTCACCAAAACCATACTGAAACCTGCAATGGTTTCTTCAGAGGATAACAAAACTCCCTCAACCCCAAGGACAAATACCTATTGTTTACAGGAAGCAGTCAGTTCCTCAAAAAATATATTGGAAATGGCAAATGTAAGAGCTGACTATAAGCTGCCGTATCTAAAGGAGTTTGGGGTATACAGGCGTGCCCCACTTTTCAAAAGATGCATTATGCCACTTTCCTTTTTCAAGACCTAAGTGAGTACCTGTTTTTGCTAGTCAGAAGAACTCCAAAGAGGGTTTCACTTTTAAGGAAAAAAGGCGAACCTTGGCGCGGTGGCTCCGTTGGCTAGACCGTCCCCCTCCACAAGGGTTGTGGGCTGATCCCCCGGCGGGGGTGAGGGCAGAAGTCAGCCAGCGAGCGCATGGGTGGGTGGAGCAACAAACTGATGGTGCTCTCTCCCTTCCTCTCTCTCTAAAATCAATCAATAATTTTTTTAAAAAAGAAAGAGGGCAAAAATAGCATGTTTAGCATTTGTTTTGCCATAGCCATTATAGAGGCAGTGGGACCCCCAGGCTGTAGTAGAGAATGACCCCTCAAGGCCCTTCCGGATGAACTACGCTCAGCATCTCAGCATCAAGCCCCATAGCTCTGAACTGTGTCTGTGAGCATCTGCGCTTTATTCAATTTATTTTGCACATGTGTTAGCAAGATATGTCCTGTATATTTATTTTATCTTTTCTGCTTTTTCTATATATTTGTGTTACTTTAGGTTTTATGTGTTACTTGGTATGATCTGATAGGTTATTTTTTGGGTCTAGGGATGTTGAACAATTTTTCCATATAAACTAATAGTAATTGCTTATTCACTTTCTACCATTTCGGCTTATGAAAGATTTCACAGGAATGCTTTAGTTTAGCATAGTAGAGGAAACCTGTATCTAGAAAGCAGTGCAAAGGGAGAACCAGGAAGTAGGGAATGTGTCTTTGGGTTTACGGATTTTAGCTCTATTTTGTAAAAAAAAAAAAAAAAAAAAAAAAATCATTTTGCTAGGGCTATTGGGTGTGAGGGCAGGGCGTTGGGGTGTAGAAAGGAAGCCACCCAGGTATTTGACAAGGTAGTGTCAAAGGGTGCTATAAACAAAGTCCAAAGCACCACAGGAGTTCTGGGGAGGGAGGGCACACACTGATTAGGAAGGATTAAAGAGAGAAAATAAACATGAATGCAGGACACAGGTTTGAAATGCACCTTGAAGGACAGAGAGTATTTCAATTACTGAAAATGCAGGAAGACTTTTAAAGAGAGAAAGTGATGTGAGCGTGCAAAAAATAAATAAAAGGCTTTAATTAGTTATTAAGAAAAGTTGAAGATTTTGAACTTGTTAGTACCATTTTAAAGTTAGATTAAGCTCATTCCTACCTCCCACACTCAATTAAAATAACCATTCTGTCTTGCTCTCTTCAAACCACTATCAAAATCACTATCAAAAATGGCCTTGTTCATTTAGTTCTTATTGTTGCCTTTAATTAGTATGGCCATATCAACAGATTCTTCCAAGACAGTTCCAGTTTACACCTGTTGTCTGGCATAATATTACTCTTAAAAGTGCTCTGGTTTAAACAATAAATTATAAGGGCATTCTATACTTAAATCACTAGGGGAATATTAGTGTAACTTTAAAAATATAATTTTTTACTCCTACTTTTTTTTTTAATTCTGTATGGATATTGTTTTAAATAAGCCGTAATTCAAGTAAGGACCAACCCACTGCTATGCCTTTTTTCCTTTCCCTCATTTCTCAGGATTTATACTTTAAAGGCTTAGCTTACAACTTTTAATGACATGACAATTTTTTCCCAAAAATAATATTTACATTTTATTCACTATTTAATAGAAACTGCCAGCCAGATTGCCCAACTAATCAATACATATACTGGAAAAGCATTTCTAAGCTTCTAAGCTTAGAATTCTGAGATAATCAACTATAAAGTATACAGAAGCAGGAACCTTTCAGAAGGAAACCTGCTGCATCTAAGAAGTTAGAATTGAGGAGCTTCAGCCAAGATGGAGGCATAGGTAGATATGCTCTGCTTCCTCACACAACCAAAAGAAGGATAACGACCAATTTAAAAACAAATACCAACCAGAACTGCCAGAAAATTGAACTGTATGGAAGTCTGACAATCAAGGAGTTAAAGAAACATTCATCCAGACTGGTAAGAGGGGCAGAGATGGGAAGCCAGGGAGGCGAGGAAGCCCAGCAACGTGGCAGCTGGAGGACTGGTCTATCCCACATTCAAGTGTAGATAAATTGAGAGGAACAGCTGGGGAGCGAGACAGACCGCAAAACCCAGGGTTCCATTGCAAGGAAAGAAAGCCTCAAAACCTCTGGCTGTAAACACCTACGGGGGTTGCGGCAGTGGGAGAAATTCCCAGCCTCACAGGAGAGTTCATTGGAGGGACCCACAGGGCCCTAGAATGTACAAAAACCCACCCATATGGGAATTAGCACCTGAAAGGGCACAATCCGCTTGTGGGTAGCGGGGTAAGTGACTAAAAACAGAACTAGAGCCAAGCAAACAACATGGTTACCTCTCTGACCTTTCCCCCAAGATAGCGCCACAACACAGCGATCTGGGTTGCCCCACCCTGGCAAATACCTAAGGCTCCTCCCCTTCCAGCGTAACAAGCGTGCTGAGAAAAAGAAATATGGCCCAAATGAAAGAGCAGATCAAAACCCCAGAAAAAGAACTAAGTGACGAGGAGATAGCCAACCTATAAGATGCTGGGTTCAAAACCCTGCTAATCAGGATGCTCACAGAAATGACTGAGTATGGTCACAAAATAGAGGAAAAAGTGAAGGCTATACAAAGGGAAATAAAGAAAAATATACAGGGAACCAACAGTAAAAGGAATGAAACCAGAACTCACATCAACAATTTGGAACAGAAGGAAGAAATAAACATTCAACTGGAACAGAATGAAGAAACGAGGATTCAAAAAAATGAGGAGAGGCTTAGGAACCTCTCTGGGACAACTTTAAATGATCAAACATCCGACTCATAGGGCTGCCAGAAGGAGAAGCAGAAGAGCAAGAAACTGAAAACTTATTTGAAAAAATAATGAATGAAAAATTCCCCAATCTGGCCAAGGAACTAGACATACAAGTCCAGGAAGCTCAAAGAGTCCCAAAGAAGTTGGAAATAAGGAGAAACACACCAAGACATATTATAATTAAATTACCCAAGATTAAAGATGAGAGAATCTTAAAAGCAGCAAGAGTAAAGGAGAGAGTTACCTACAAAGGAGTTCCCATAAGACTCTCAGCTGATTTCTCAAAAGAAACCTTACAGGCAAGAAGGGGCTAAAAAAAAGTATTCAAAGTCATGAAAAGCAAGGACTTACAACCTAGATTACGCTATCCTTCAAAGTTACCATTTAGAATGGAAGGGCAGATAAAGTGCTCCCCAGATAAGATAAAGTTAAAGTAGTTCATCATCACCATGCCCTTATTATATGAACTGTTAAAGGGACTTATCTAAGAAAAAGAAGATCAAAACTACAAACAGTAAAATGACAACAAACTCACAACTATCAGTAACTGAACCTAAATAAATAAATAAATAAAAACAAATTAAGCAAACAACTAGAACAGGAACAGAATTACAGAAATGAAGGTCACATGGAGGGTTATCAGCGGGGATGAGGTTGGGGGAGAATAGAGGAAAATGTACAGGGAATAAGATGCATAATTGGTAGGCACAAAATAGACAGGGGGATGTTAATAATAATATAGGAAATGGAGAAGCCAAAGAAGTTATATGTATGACCCGTGGACATGAACTAAGTGCAGGAATGCTGGAGGGAGGGGTAGTGCAAGGCAGAGGGGGATACAGAGGAGGGAAAAAAAAAGGGACACCTGTCATAGCATAATCAATAAAATATACTTAAAAAATAAATTAGAACTGATGACCAACTAAGCATATGGGAAGTAAATTAAACAACACTTTGGGGGCTCAAAGGCCTCAGGTAGTCTTTCATTATATAGGATGGGTTTCTGGGTTCTGCTGGATGGCTGTAAAAAAGATCATACACAAGGTGTGACCAGTCATACTGGAATGTGCTTACCATACAACCCAGATATAATTCAGTCAAGGACAGAGACAGCCACAAACCCACTTCATCCTACCCCACCCTCTCCCCGCCAGGTACCTTTTAGATCTCCATTGCCATCCTTGTCACTGTCCTTGAAAGATCTTGTATAGATCTGGTACATGGGTCCTGCCTGCCACCAGTCAAGGCATTTTGGAGAGATGGCGATGATGGCTATGGTGGCCGCAATGAGCCCGAGCACAGAAGCCACGGTGAGCCAGAAGAGGACCTCTCGGGGCACCCTGTACCGGGCCTGGCGTGAGAAGTGAAACAGCACCTCCTTGGGCATCCCTGCGTAGGGCTGCACGTTCTCTAAGTCGGGCTCCTCGGGGCCAAGGATGCCCACCCTACTGTCCTGTGGGCTGTCCACCGGGCTGCCTGGATCCAGGTCCTTTTCCAGGATGTCTTCATTTTGGACAAATCCATTGTTTGTCTGGCATCCCTTCATACTTATTCCAATGGAGTCTCTTTTGCTTTTCTTCTCAGCCATGTCTCACTGTCTTATCCCTGGGATGTGCCTGCCTGCAGTAACAAAGGTGGAGATGCGGATTGCTGAAATGCTTGGTTATGTTAATGTGCTTTGTGTGGTTTATAAATAAACCTGGCTGGACAAAGTCCAGCCAAGGAAGGAAGGGTAAAGGTCAAGAGGTGGGTTTAAAAAATTCTCTTTACACCTGTGAGGCTGATAGAGCTACAATGACAACACTGAGGGGCTCAGACCCCGACTGGGACAGGCATGGGGCAGGGGCTGGGGGAAGGACAGGAAGAATAGGGTTCCATTGCAGTTTAAGACTTTACTTAGCTGAGTACATCAATGTTGATACCATCACTGTTCACAATAACCAAATGGTAGAAAAAGCCAAGTGTCCACCAGGGGACAAATAAACAAAGTATCATATAAGCACACAATGGACTATTAATCAGCCTTAAAAATGAAGGAAACTCTGACACATACAACAGCATGAACGGAACTTGAAAACAGCCCTGGCTGATGTGGCTCAATGGATTGAGTGCAGGCCTGCGAACCAAAGGGTCGCTGGTTCAGTTCCCAGCCAGAGGACAGGCCTGGGTTGTGGGCCAGGTCCCCAGTAGGGGGTGCACAAGAGGCAACTACACATTAATGTGTCTCTCCCTCTCTTTCTCCTTCCCTTCCCAGCTCTCTAAAAACAAGTAAATCTTAAATTAAAAAAAAAAAACTTGAAAACATTAAACTAAGTGAAATAAGCCAGACCCAGAAGGACAAATATTATGTGATTCCGCTTATGTGCAGTACCTACACAAATTTATTGAGACAGAGTAGAAGGATTGTTATCAAGAGTTGTGAGGAGGGGAGTAATGAGGAGTTACTGTGTAATGAGTACAGAGTTTGCACTTGGGATGATGCAAAAACTCAGAAGAGTGATAGTGGTGATGGTAGCACAACAATCTAAATGTACTTAATACCAATGAATGTTACATTTTAAAATGGTTAAAGCGATTCCTTGTATGGATGTTTTACCACAATAAAAAAAAAAGCTGTAGAATTTTTCTTTTTACCTAGGTATGAGAAAAAGAAAGAAATACTGAAATTTGCAAGGAGAAACAGGCTTTTTCTTCATTTTTTTGTTGTGAAGTTGTTTCTCTACAAATCCAAGAGAAGGAGGGTCTTGAGACAGGAAGCAACACCACTTTGTTACTGAAGTTAATTCAATTTTTTCTCAGTTCAAGCCAATCCTATAAATACCCATTTTCACACTCAGTTCAGCCCAGCACCTTTGATCTTGTTTCCCTTTTCAAAAAAGGAAATCACTCTCCATTCTTAGAAATAGTTTCTGAAGAGGGGTAGGGTAGGGATGGTGAGAATTCTACGTAATGTGAGTTCAATGCTTTATCATAGGCAAATAGTTCTTTTTAAAAAATTTTATTTTATTACTTATGCTATTACATTTGTCCTTATTTTTCTCCCTTTGCTCCCTCCTCCCAGCACCCCCACTCCCTCAGGCAATCCCCCTACCCTTGTTCATGTCCACAGGTCATGCGTATAAGTTCTTTGGCTACTCCCTTTCCTATACTATACTTTACATCCCCATGGCTATTCTGTAACTACCTATTTGTACTTGTTAATCCCCTCACCTCTCATCTATTCTCCCACACTCTTCCTCCCATCCTTTATCTTTAACCTTTGGCATTTTAATTATGATGTGTCTTGTTTGGGACTCTCTGTGCTTCCTGGACTTGCATGTATGTTTCCTTCACCAATTAGGGAAGTTTTCTTTCATTATGATTTCAAATAGGTTTCAAATTTCTTGCTCTTTCTCTTCTTCTGGTACCCATTTGATGCGAATGTTGGAAAGCTTGAAGTTGTCCAGAGGTTGCTTACACTATACTCATCTTTTTGGATTCTCCTATCTTCTTGTTTGTCTACTCGGTTGTTTTTTGTTTCCATATGTTCCAAATCAATGATTTAATTCTCAGCTTCATCCACTCTTCTGTTGTTTCCCTGTAAATTGTTATTTCAATTAGTGTATCCTTTGTTTCTGACTGGATCTTTTTTATGCTGTTAAGGTCCTCATTAAGTCCCTTGAGAGTCCTTATAACCTGTGTTTTGAACCTTGCATCTGATAGATTGTTTATCTCCATTTTGTTTAGCTCTTTTTCTGGAGTTTTGATCTTTCTTTTGGGCCCTGTTTCTTTCTCCTCATTTTTGCAGCCTCCTCATGTTGTTTCTATGTATTAGGTAGAACTGCTTTGACTCCATGTCCTGGTAGTGTGTCCTAATGTAGTAGATATCCTATAGGATCCAGTGGCACATCCTCCCCTATCACCCAAGCTGGGTACTTGAGGTGTGCCCTATGCGTGAGCTGAGTTCACCCTCCTTTTGTAGTTGAGCCTTGGGTGCTGTTGGCAGATCAATGGGAGGGATTTACCCAGGCCAGTCAGCTACAAGGACTGGCTGTGACCATTGACCACCAACCCCTGCCCTCTGTGGAGGATCAGCTGTGCAGGGTCAGGGTGATGGTGCTCAGATGTGCTCTGTAGCTGTCCACTGAGTGCACACTACTGGGTTTCCCTGGTAGTGCAGGCCAAGGTCAGCCCCAACCTATGTTTTGCCTGGGGCCACCCCGCCTGAATTATAAAGCAATCTGAGATGACTGCTACTTGTTTTTGGCTTGGAGATATCTAGGTAAAGCCAAGCTGTAAATCTAGGCTGTTAGTTCCAGGCATGGGGCTCACTGAGGCAAGCTGTTGCTTGTTTGAGAGGATTTAGGAAGTTGTAAAGCATGAACCAAGACCATCCATATGGAAAAACAGCTTGGGTAGGCCCATAAGCTGGGTGGGTTGGAGTCTCTGGGGATCTCCAAAGTGGGTCAAACAGGGTTAGCCAAGTTGATGGAATCTCAGATACATCACCAGTCTGCTGGTTCTGTGGGGGGGGGGGGGGGAGTTCTAGAAAAGGGACAATGGCCTCTGTTCACCTTGATGACAGACACCTCAGCCTCCCCCTGCACGCCACTAGTGCCTCTCAAGCCACTGCTACATCGCTGGAGCTCAGAGGGAGTGAGTTTGCATAGGTGAATCCATGTGTGTGTTGTTTAAGAAGAACTGCTTGGAGCTCCAGAATTTTCTTCCACCAGTTCAATCCCCTCCTAGTTTATGCAGCAAGAAGTTGTGGGGACTTACCTTCCTGGCACTGGAACCTTGGGCTGGGGGACCTGGTGTGGGACTGGGACTTCTCACTCTGGAGATATCCCTCCCAGATTTTTATCCACCACACATCGATGTAGGACCAGCCCATTCTACATCTGCATCCCTCCTACATCCTACTGGATGGATGTGGTTTCTTTAATTCTGTAGTTTTTAGACTTTTATTCAACTCAATTTCTGTCAGTTCTGAGCAATGGTTCTTCTATATTTTAGTTGTAATTTTGTTGTGGTTGTGCAAAGAGGCAAGTCATGTCTGCTTAGGCTGCCATCTTGACCGGAAGTTGGTAAACAATTCTTAATACAAGCACTAAAGAGTTGTTTAATCATTGAAGAGTATAAAATAAACAACCCTAGGAAATTGCATTAAATATAGGTGTGCTTTCCTAGAAGACTCTGCAGCCTTAAATGTTATGATTCAGTTTCAATGTAATCAATGACACTTAGCCCTATAAATCATTCAATCAAATAAGATTTTTTTTGTTCATGAGGCAAGCTACATTCCTAAATTCTACTATTACTTTTTTTTTTTTATGTAGAGTGCCTTAGAAGCAGTATATGATACAGAGGAATGAGCTGTTTGATTTTGGCTAAGTTATTTTTTAAAATGAGTAAATCGCAATACTTTGCTCATTGAATGCATCCAATAAGTACCATCTCTCATCACTATTAATTATGCACATTTGTGTATTTTTTAAAATTCAAAGGAATTTAACTTTTGTGTCTTGAAATTGCTTTGTCTCAAATACATAATGCTAATTTTCACAATAGGAGCTAATTCTTAAAATTGAGATACTGTTTGGGGAAAAAAAAATGCACAAAAATATCAATAGTTTTAAAATAAGTCAAATTGTTACATATATACCATGGACTATTACTCGACTATAAAAACGAATGAAATCTTACCATTTGTGACAACATGGATGTACCTAGAGGGAACTGTGCTAAATGAAGTAAGTCAGACAAAGATAAATACCATATAATTTCACTTATATGTTGAATCTAAAAACAAAATAAATGAACAAAGAAAACAGGAATTCAGAGATACAGAGAACAAACTGATGGTTGCTAGGTGTGAGGGGGTTTAGGGGCTTGGTGATAAAGATGAAGGGATTAAGAAACACAAATTGGCTATTCCAATATGGCTACAGAGTAGGTGGAAGCTACACTCACCTGCTCCTAGTGCCAAACTGGATTTACAGCTAAATTATAGAACAATCAGCCTCAATAACCAACTGAAGGCTAGCTGAACTAAAATATTACAACCAAGAATTTATAGAAATCATAAAGAGATTGGTAAATAGGGCAAAGACACAGAAAGGGCTAGTCCCCTACACCAACATGTGTGAAAAACCAGAGGAATATCTTGGCTGCAAAACTCCCTTCCCCTAGGAACATGGGGTCTCAACCCCAACACAGAGCAACAGAGACTGTAAGAGCAGCCGGCATGGCATCTGAAAAGAGGCCATTCTTCTCCATCTCAAGTGCACAGCTGGAGCACTGCCCACCCCCAACACCTGTTAAATCACTCGGCCTGCCTTACCACTCTGAGACCTGCCCTGATGAGTTCAGTCGTGCAGAGGGATCAGAGTTTGTGCAGAGCTGGGACCTTCAGAGCACCGTCTCTTGGGGAGGTTTTGTCCAGGAATCAGACAGGTGGGTTCTGGGTTGTGTGACTACATCGTAGGGGGACCACTCCTACTTCCCCTGTGAGCTCAGCCAGCACTATCCCTGAAGGGGAAGAAGTGCCTGCCTCAATCCACAGGCTTGTTGGCACCATCAAGAGACTGGATCTGCCCTTCCAAGTCC